GCCCATCATTGAGCGAATACACGGAGCTCCTTTGCCACAAGATCCTCCTCAAAGCATGTGCACCAAGCAGGCCAGCGGCGCGACTGGGTCAGTGGTAATACCAGCGCGCTGTCCAAGTGCCAGCGCTTTTCGGACGCTCGTCTCACGAGTGCCACAACAATCCGCACCCGATCCTCCTCTGGAGGCAGCTACGTACGCTGGCAAGCTGGGTGTCCTCCTCTTGTCCTCTTCTTGTGAAATGCCGGCGCCGCAAGACATGGAGGCCACCAGCCAGGGCTGGGTCAGCCATGGAGGCCAGCTTCGTGGCCAGCTATGGAGGCCAGTTCCGCAGCTGCTCACACACTTGCCAAGACGATGCGAAATCAGCGACTTGATTTTTCTACACTTTTTCGATTTCGGAACAATTTTCGATTTTCGACCATGTGGATCGAAAGCGGCAGATGCCACATCTATTGACACGCCACTTATATAACACGGCAAATGCCATATCTAGGCACACTCCCCTTAGCTTTATGCGCGCGACAGTCGGGCTTGTCGCGCTCCTGGCGCTGCATGGCGCGGGCCTCTTCCTCTTCACGAGCGGCTTCTTCCTCACGCGCTACGAAGTCAAGGACGCGAGCGCGTGCGACCCGCCGGGTCCTTCGCACCTCCGGCGGTCGGCTGCGTCGCCCGGCTGCTGGTACGACCAAAAGTTCAAGCGCGTTGTCTACGTCGTCATCGACGCGCTTCGGTACGACTTTATGCACCGCGCGCCGAAGGACGAGGTGCTGGCGAAAGACAGCATTGGCGGGCGCTTCTTCCTCAACCACCTTCCGCACGTCCACGCGGTATTGGCAGCGCAGCCCTCGCACAGCCTCCTGTACCGCTTCGTGGCCGACGCGCCGACGATGACCATGCAGCGGTACGTCCGCCGCGTTGCCATGGCGTCACGCACGATGACGCATGTAGGCTTAAGGGCTTGACGACGGGGACGCTCCCGACGTTTCTCGACATCAAAGACAACATGCAGAGCACCGAGATCGTCGAGGACAGCTGGGTGCAGCAGCTCGTGCTGCTCAACAAGAGCATCGTCTTTATGGGCGATAACACGTGGGATGCGCTCTACGGCGGCAAGTTTACGCGCAACTACTCGTACGACTCGTTCAACGTCAAGGACCTCCACACCGTCGACAACGGCGTGCTCGCCCACATCTTTGACGAGCTCGCGTTGCCCGACTGGGACGTCCTCATCGCCCACTTCCTCGGTCGCGTCTCATGCGCACCATCGTGCTCACAGGAAGGCTACCTGTAGGCGTTGACCACGTCGGGCATACGTACGGGCCCAGCTCGCCATATATGGAGACGAAACTCGACCAAATGGACGCCTTCCTCGAGACGCTCTTGGCGACCGTCGAGGACGATACGCTCGTCGTACGTCGATGCACATCCAAAGGCGCAGATGGCAATAGGTTCTTAGGTTGTACTTGGCGACCATGGCATGTCGGAAGAGGGCAATCACGGCGGCGCGACCGACGACGAGACCGGCGCCGCGCTCTTTCTGTACAGCAAGACGCCGCTGCACCACGCGATCGCGACGCCCGACGGCGGCACGCTCTCGCTCTTCAACCACGTGGTCGGCCGCCGCAGCAACGAGTTTACTGTCGCCCAGGTAGTCTCTCGACTACAATGCTGCGTTTCTACTAACTAACAAATTCCGAGTCCAGGTCGACTTGGTGCCGACGCTGTCGCTTTTGCTTGGGCTGCCAATTCCGTTTGGGAACCTCGGCGCTGTGATCCCGCACGTCTTTTTCACGTCCCGTATGGATATGTGCCCCGACAAAACGTGGATTCATGTGGTTGTCTCGTAGCCGCCATGGACATTGACGAGTGCTTTCGCCGGCTCAACGAAGCGATGACCGTCAACGTGGCGCAGATACGCCACTACTTTATGGCCACGAGCACGATTCGCATGGATTTGCCCGCGATGCTGTCGCTCGAAGCCACGTACGCGGCGCTCCACGAGCCACAGCTGAGCCCCCGCGCGCGCTACGACCTCCTCCACGCGTACCTCCGCGACGCCCTGGACCTGAGCCGGGCCATGTACACGCAGTTTGACTTTGTCGCGATGGGCTGGGGCGTCCTCGTCCTCCTCTGTGGCACGCTCTTGTCGATCGCTCTCTGCGTGCCCGACGACGCGCTCTCGTTTGCTCCAAGTCCTCATCTTCTCGTCGGGCCAAGCGTCGGTGCGCTTCTCGGGCACCTCTGGCCCTGGGCGCTCGTGCCGCACGCGGTCGTCCCTGCCGCGCCGCTGCCCCGCACCGCCCTCTGCGCGTCGCTCGGGCTGGTTGCGGCTCTTGCCCGCAGCGCTATATGGCGCCGTCCCAAGCACTTTGGCGTCTCCCGCGCCAACATCACATGCCTCTTCTTTGGCCTCTGCCACCTCCTCGCGCTCTTCTCCAACAGCTACCTTGTTGTGCAGGACAAGGTCGTCGGCTTCCTTGCGTCGTCCGCGCTCGTCGTGCTCGGCCTCGACGTGCTGCAGGGGCCGCGCTCGAGTCAGTGGCGTTTTGCGCTCCTCTGCGTCGTTCACCGCGTCAGCGTCGGCCTCTCGCGGCCCAACATTGTGTTTTCAACGACGTCGCTTCTCGGGACGTGGCTGCCGCTCAGTGGCCTCGCCATTGACAGCGTCATGCGATATGGCCGTCACTATGGTCTGCTCTGGCTTCTCGTTGGGCTCTACTGGCTGGAGCTGAGCCCGCTCTTGCTGCCACGCTTGGTCTACGCCGGCTGCCTCGTCTCCGGTGCGCTCCACGCGTCCGTCCCGTCGCTCCTCATCGTGCTGACGCTGCTTCTCGGGCCCACGGCGCCGGCTGCGATTGGCTGCTTCGTGGTTGAAGCTCGGCTGCTCGCCGGCCTGGACCTGCCGCCGACGCTGCGCCGCCGCCTCCTCTCGGCCTTGCTCGTGTACCACTTCTACTTTGCGACCGGCCACCACAACGGCTTTAGCAGTCTCCAGAACGCAGCGGCGTTTGTGGGGTTCGAGGACTTTGCGTTCTTCCGGTCCGGGCTGCTGCTGTTTCTCAATACGTTTGGGAGCTTCCTCGTCGGGCTCCCGCTGCTGGCAACGACAGCGCTCGACAGGCGCGTCATATTGGCTCTCTTCAGCCTCGCAGCGACGTGCACGACGATCTTTGTCGGCTGCATGCGTCGCCACCTCTTTGTCTGGGCCATCTTTGCGCCCAAGTACATCTTTGATGGCGCGACGCTGCTCGTGGTCAATGCGATCGCTGCGTTCGTTTAGACAAATACGACGACGACTTAATCGTAGAGACTCTCGTCGTACTCGATGTGCGCATCCAAGTTCTTGGCGGCGGCGTTGAGCGACTTCCACGGCTCGTGCTGCTTCTTGACGAGCGTAAAGACGAGCGAGTCGCGCTTCGCCTTGTACGAGACGTCGGCGATCGGGCCGTAGAGCTTGGGCACGACGAGGCTGCGCACGTCCTTCTCGTCAAAGGTGATGTCGAGCGAGAGCGACGTCGCGCTCCAGTGGATCGACACGGCGTCCTTCTTGACGTCGCCGGCCGCCGGGTGGTCGACGTAGATGGTCACCTAGTCAACCATGAGCCTCCTCACAGTGCAACAACAATGATTACCGTCTTGCGGCCGTCGGACCAGCCGTACTGCGAGATGGTCTGCTTGAGCGTCATCGGCGTGTTGTCGATCTCGCGCACCTTGTGGGCGTAGTAGTAGCTGTTCTCGCCGTTGCGCGAAATGTTGGCCGCGAGCGCCGACCGCGCTGGGCCATCGTCGCCATCGCCGTCGTCGTCGGCGTCATTGCCGTCCGTGGCTTGCGCCTCCTTGGTGGCTTTGGCCTTGGCCCTGGCTTTGGCCTTCTTGGACGTACGCTTCGTGTACGGCGCGTCGTCCTCGGGCTCGTAGCGGCCGCCGCAGACGTGCCAGAGGATCGTGAGCGCGATGAGGCCGAGCGCGACGAGGAGGCCGTAGAACTGGCTGAGGAAGAGCGGAACCGTGACGTTGCCGATCGGCGTCACGATCTCGACGATGCCCATGTCCATGTTGGGCACGTAGATGTAGGGCACGAACCACTGCATGCTGCTGCTCAAGATGATGATCCTAATCTGCCACCTCCGCTACGTGGCACGTACACTATTTCGGTGGCGTGTAACACAACCAAATTTGGCACATGCCGAATTGAAGAGATGGCAAGATAAAGAGCGTCAGAGCGCCAGCACCACCACGCTCCAAGCGTACTGACGATCTCGATGCTGGACTCTGTCGATGTTACTTGCGTTTGTTGCCATGGCCAGCGTCCTAACAGTGCTCTTCGCCAACTGCCTATTTTATTTTCGGCATTCCTGCCGATTTCTAGAACCTGCAGCCAACCACCAGCGTGCAGCGCAGTTGGCTCGTTGCCGCCGACCGTGCAAGTGGAAGAGCTCATCAAACAAGACGGATGTGTAGTGTTGCGAGCCTGGAGAGGCCTTCACTGTAGCATTTGTCGGCTTTATGCTAGCTTGATTTAACAGCGCACTGAACTTGATCCGTGTGGTACTGTGCAGCATGGACGACTAAATTCGGCATGCCGCCCTGGACTTTGCGTAAAGCTATCCGGATTGCCCCAAGAGGAATTTCGAGCGACCGACCGATGGCCGCCGAGATCGAGTGGCTCTTCGATGGTGCGACGACGCCCGTGACGCCGTCGACGCAGCAGGGCTACGCCTGGCCGCTCGAGAAGAAGCTACGCGAGGCCACGGCGCAGTTCGTGTTTGACCTCACGGCCAAGATGCACATGCCCCGGGCGACAGCGACCACGGGCCTCGTGTACATGAACCGCTTCTTCTGCGTGCACGCCTTCCAGGACCACGACCGGTTCCTCGTCGGCGCCAGCTGCGTGTACGTGGCGGCAAAAGCCACCGAGTGCGCGATGAAGCTCACGGACTTTACTGAGCGCACGGTGATTTTGCTGGACGACTGCCGGGACAAGTCGCAGATGCCACACGCCGCCGAGATCGAGCACGTCAAAGCCAAGCTGCGCCAGTACGAGGTCATTCTGCTCAACACGCTTTCGTACAACCTCATCGTTTCCAACCCGTACCACCTCGTGCTCCTCAAGCTCGAAAACGTCCAGGCCGTGCTGCCCATGCCCCTTGACGACGTCCGCGAATTGGCTTGGCTCTTTGCCACCGACGCCATCCGCGGTACTCCGACGCCTCGACCTCTGTACCAACTGACAATGCGCGTAGGCATCCTCGGCGTCCAGTTTACGATGGATGAGATCGCGGCCGGCAGCGTCTACCTCTCCTACGTCTTCCACGAGTATGACATCACGACACTGCCTGCGGTGGGCACCTGACCTCGAGCTAGAATCCCGTGGGACACGACGACTCCCGACAGCGGCGAGCGTTGGTGGACCGTCCTCGGCTTGCCGCAAGCCGACCTGGACTGCGTGAGCGCCGCGCTCATTGGTCTCTACGCCGGTCTGACGGAGCGCCTGCCCGTGCCGTTCCGGAACCTCATGAAGCACTACCCGACGACGACCAAGTACAAACCGAGCACGTCCCAGCCTCCGAGCAGTCAACGGCAAAAGCCCAAGCAGCAGAGCAACAGTAGCAGTGCTAGTCGTCATCATACTACGACGCGCTAAGTTAACGAAGGGTACTGGAGCTACACGGCGTTGCAGCCGTCGCCGCCCGCGATGCGCAGACAGGACGTGGACGCGAACATCCCGAGGATGCTCACGCTGACCGAGTACGCGAGCACGAGGAAGCAAAAGCCGAGCGCGAGGCCGCCCATGGTCGCCGACTTGCCGCCGTACCGGAGCATGTGCTGGAGGTCGATCTTCTGGTTCGGGAGGAGCCCGACGCAGAGACACGCGAGAAGCGTTGTGCCATAGTAAATGACGTACGTGTACGCGACTTGGTCGCGGACATGTCTCGAGTCCGCCTTGATGTCGTCTTCGCTCACGTCAAACTTGGAGAAGATGGCGTTGGCCACCACCGGGCCGAGCACCGACGGCATGTTGGAGACGGTCGTCATGAGCCCGTACATGATGCCTTCGCTGCCTTCTTCGGCGAGCTCGACAATGATGAAGGTGGTCACGATGAACTGCATCGAGAACGGCAGGTTCTCAGCTAACGGGACGCCGAGGTACCACCACTGGTCGCGAATCACATCGTAGATGGTCGTAAACTGCACGACCGCGTCGATCATGTTGCCGCTGATGGTCGTGAGCACGAGCACGTAGCGCCAGTTCCAGAGCATGCCCCACTTGCCGAGGGCGCTGAGACCCATCGCGAAGAGGAAGCCAGACGCGAGGTTGAGCACTTGGTAGTTGAGGTTGTCGGCCTTGGCCCAGTGCTTCATGACGTACGGCGCGGCCGTCGACGTGATGCCCGAGCTGAGAAAGTTGAAGAGGAAGTTGAAGATCATGACCTGCCACGTCGCGCGCTTCTGGATCACGTGCCAGAAGCGGTGCAAATACTCGCCAAAGTGGAAGCCCGGGTGGTACTGGTCGTGGATGAAGAGGAGTGTGACGGGCACCATGCTGGCGCAGACGATACCGAGGAGGATGAAGATCGTGTGGATGCCCATGTCCCAGTCGAACGAGCCAGAGAATTTGAACGAGTTGAGCCCGATCGCAATGATGGCGACCGAGAAGGACGAGAAGACCGTCCGCGTCGCGTACACGAGCGTCTGCATGCGGCCGCGGACGTCGATGGGTTCGCGCTGCGCAATCTCGACGACGAGCGCGTCGGCTGGGACGTCGGCAAAGATGTAGGCGAGCGTCGCGAGGCCGAGAAGGAGGCCGACGACGCCGCCTTTCTCCGGTGCGTCCGCGTTGAGCATCGCCTTCTCGGGCAGCGTGAGGTTCTTGCGCGCTGCGAGGTCGGCGGTCGGATAGTAGGGCAAGCCCATGTCTATGGTGGCGAGCACGACCATGCAGCCGAGGCAGGCGAGCCAGCCGAGGATCATCCAGAACTTGCGGCGGCGGCCAAAGATCGGCACGCAGTCCGAGAGCATGCCCACAAACACCTTGAGCGACCAGCCAATGCCGATGAGCGCCTTGCCCGAGTTGTACTGGCTGCCCGACATGTGAAAGTAGCCGGTGAAGAGCGGGAAGAGAAGGTTCGGGATCGCGCCGTAGAGCAGCCCGATCGCCGCGTACTGCGCGAGGACGCCGACGACCTCGGGGCTCGTGTAGATGGGGGCCGGGCCGTCCCGGAGCGCGCCGTCACTGGACCGCCCGTCGGTCTGCGGGCTGCGGAGGTCGATGAAGATGTGGCCCGGCGCGTCCGAGCCGGACGAGAGGTACGACGCGCGGTCCGTCGCGATCACGGTGGGCGCTGCCCGAGCCTGCTTCATGCGATCGCGGTTGCTAAGTGAAGCCAGCACGGCTGAGCTGCAAACCGGCTGGCCAGGTAGCCATTTGACCTCTCCAATGTGTCTCTGTTTACCATTGATTTCTCCACATCATCTCAATCTCTGCATGAGATGCGACGCAATGAGACAGTGTTGAGAGATGACGAGACAGGCGGCGCCGTGGGACTGGGTCAACTCGTGTAATCGACGCTTCTTTGATCTGATCTCGGACAGACAGCGTCGCGACCGACAGCCCACGCCCGTGATGGCGCGGGTCACTCGGCCTGGTCGCGGTCGAGACCACTACCGTGCCTAGTAACAAGGCCTTGGTACTCGATGGCTCGTTCCTCTTCGTAGTACGACGGACGTTGATGCACATATCTCTGGTATATATCACGTGACGCTAAACGTCATCACGACTACGTAACACCACCTACTTCCGGCCCTTTTCCTCCATGTCTTTGGCCTCTCTGTAGTCGTTCAAGTCGAGCTCCTTCTCGTCGGCGAACGACGCAGTGTGCTGAAGGACGTGGAGGTTCTCGCTGCTCGCGTCCGGCAGCATCGCGTCCTGGTTGAGCTTCTTGAAGTTGACGATCTTCTGGAAGAGGTAGTCGAGCACATGCTTGGCGTCCGAGCGCTCGGGGTCGAGCTTTGGCAGAATGCCGAGGATGACCGCCGACTCCTTGACGTAGTACTCGAGGTCGTCGTCCGAACACTTGTTGGTGAGCTGTGCGAGCCGCAGCGACTCGGACGCAAAGTGTTCGTCCAAGTCAAATTGATCGAGCGCTGGCGGCGGCGGCTCTCGCAGAATCGGCGGAAAGACCGCGGGCTTGAGTGGCGGGAGCGGGCACTCGAACTGCGGCGGGATCAGCGTCAACGGCTCGTGCTTGACCCCGAGCTCCTTGAAGAGCGCGACGGCCTCCGGGATGAGCGACGTGTCAAATGTAAAGAGCGCGTTATCAAAGAGCTTGGTAAAGTCCTTTGGGAGCTCTTCGCCTTCCTACGCGCTTACCTAAGAATCATTCTTATTTAAAAGACGACGCACCTGCATGCACGAGCGGAGGCGCTCGCTGAGCGCTTGCGTGTCCGGCAGCCGAAAGTAGTCGCTCAGGTCCGGGTCGCCCGCGTCAAAGGCGTCGAATAAGATCTCCTTGTCCTTGAGCAGCCACCGGAAGAGAATGTCCTGGAGCTTCGTGTTCTCTTCCTTGTCGAGCCAGTCGTCGGAGAAGACGTGCGCGGACCCGAGGACCGCGAGGCGGCCGCATTTTTTCGGTGGCGCGCTCACGCCGTCGGCCGAGTAGACGGCGGCGACCGGGCGGTTCATCGGGAACGAGATGAAGCCCGAGCTCAGGATCGGCGCCGACGGCTTCTTGACGTTGAGCGTCGCGCCGTACGGGAACACAAAGTCGAGGCCGCGCTGGTCCTTCTCGAGTCCATGCGCCTTGTCGGCGGCCGGGTCCCGCGCAAAGATGTCTTTGCCGCGGCCGGAAAGCACATTGGTCTAGCCGATTCTGCAGGAAGCCACAAGGAGACAGGATGCGTACCATGCGCGCGATCTCGCGGTTGACGACGCCGCTCGTCACGAGCACTTCCTTCGGGTGGTGGTACTTGTGATAGACGGTGCGGATGACGGCGTCGGCGTTGATCGTGATGCCAAACTCTTTGAGCCACGAGTTGAGATTCGTGTCGTGGCGCGTATCGCCGCCCTCGCCGACGAGGAAGAGGATGCTGCCGCCTTCGCGCAGGTAGTCCTTGAGCGCCTGGAACTCGGACGAGCTAAAGCGCTCGCGGACGCCTGCGAACACGAGGAGGTGCGCCTGCTTGAGCCGGTCGAGCGACAAGTCGTCCTTGTTGACCTCGACCTTGCAGCTCGTCTTGAGCTTCCGCGCTAGTTTCTTGTAGCCCGACGTCGGGTAGAACTCCTCCTTCTTGCTCGCATCGAACATGACGACGGTCGACGTCCCGCCCGCCGCCACCTTGAGCGACTCGTCCATGCCCGGCCCTGCGTTCTCCATCATCTCGCAGCAATTCGATCTTGAACAGGCGCCGAAAGTGTAGAAAAATACAGGTCTGGGTGCGCTTTTCCCCGAATTTTGGATATGGTGCGGCAACCGACCAACTTCAACATGCCACTTTGCACGTGGCACGACGTCGCGTCGAGGCGCTTAATGCTTTGGTCGTCATAGAGTTCGTAGGCTTCTAGAGTTTATAAGATCGTAGTTTCCATATATGCATATACGACCCGACAATCCTGAACCCCGAGCGACGCGGCTCCTAATCCTGTCTGTCTGGTGGCGAGCAGATCTAGGTCTTGCTAGTACTTTGGTCGTCGCCACAACTGTGACCAGATTCTAGTCAGATTCTAGTAGGAACTAGCCCGCAGTGAGTGCTGCCAGTAGCCACAACACTTTTATATATACATACACCAAGGACGTCGCGGAGCACGTGACGCCTTCTCTTCCTGCTGTGCTGTAACACTTGCACTGCACCGACCCGCTGCCTTTCCAGTGGTTTCGGCTTCTATTTTTCAAACGCTGGGTGTTTCACTTGCGCTTTTGCCGGGATGACCGTCAAGCTCTACGAAGAATCGTCGCGCTACGACCCGTGGTGCTCGCCAATCGAGCGCCGCTCCGAACTCTCGGCGCCGGACGACCCGCCATCCGACCCGTTCGTGCTCTTGCCCGCGCGCCGCCGGTCTGTCGCCGCGACCGCCGGCTATGTCCTCCTCTTCCTCTTTTCGCTGTGGCTCTTTATGGTCTCGGTGCGATGGCTCTCGGACGGCTTCATGCTTCTCGTTGCGTGCAGGGCCACGGCCGTCTTTGAGTTCTCCAACCACTCGCTCGTCGGCTTGATGATCGGCGTCGTCGCCGCCGCGCTCCTCCACTCGTCGAGCGCCGTTGTCTGCATCACCGTGGCGTCCGTCGGCGCCAACATCCTCAGCCTCCGCAAGTCGATCCCGATCATCATGGGCGCCAACCTCGGGACGTGCGTCACGTGCATCCTCGTAGCCTTTGCCCAGGTCCACGACCGGTCGCAGTTCCAGCGCGCGATCGCCGCGGCCACCGTCCACGACATGTACAACTTTTGGTCCATCGTCGTCCTCTTCCCGCTCGAAGTCGCTTTCCATCCGCTCGAGCTGCTCTCGGTCGCCATCACGGGCAAATCCGGGCAGATCGCACTTGCGTCGCCCGCCGATGCGCTCGTGGACCCGATGGCCAACGTCTGGGCCAGCGTCAACCACACGCTGCTGCAAGACGTCGCGGCGAGAGACAGCGACGACTGCCGCGTCGCCCGCTTTGTCCTCGGCGGCGCCATGCACGATGTCTCCAACACCAGTGCCGGCGCACTCACGCTCGTGCTCGGGCTCATCGTGCTCGTGCTCGCGCTCGTCGGGATGGTGTTTGCGATGACGCACCTCTTCCGCAACGCGACGGCCGCCGTGATCCGCCGCGTCCTTGGCTGGAACGCCTATGGCAACATTGTGATTGGCATCATCTTGACGTTCTTCCTGCACTCGTCGACGGCGATGACGTCGACGCTGACGCCGCTCGCCGGTCTCAACGTCATTTCGCTGAGCCAAGTGTACCCGCTCGTGCTCGGCGCCAACCTCGGATCGACCATCTCGGGCCTCCTCGCTGCCGCCGTCACGGGCAAGAAGGAGGCCGGCAACGTCGCGCTCGTCAACATCCTCTTCAACGTGGCGGGCGTCCTCCTCTTCTACGTCGTTCCGCGCACGCGCCGCCCGGTGCTGGGCTGCGCCGAGGCTATTGGCGCCTACAGCGCGCAGTGGCCGACGGCGGCGATCGTCTTCATCGGCGCCACCTACGTGCTCCTGCCCGGCTTCGTCATCGCCCTCGTCTTCCTCTACGACGCCGGCGTCGCAGGGCTCGTGCTGGGCATTCTCCTGACGCTCGGTCTCTTTCTATGCGCTGCCAGCTTTTACCGCTGGTACGTCGTCTTTGGCGGCCGCGCGCGCTGGCACAACTTCCTCGCCGCCAAGGCCGCCGCGCACGAGCACGAGCGCCGGGCTGCCGACGCCGTTTTCCTCGAGCCCAACGCGTAGCTCTTGCATGCTAGCTCCATCGCTGTATGAATCCCATCCATAATATGTAGCCACGCGTCTATCTCTAAGTTATCTAGTTAGTAGTCGTAGAGGAACGCGAGGCCTTCAAACTTGGACTGGCCCGGCAGCGGCGTCTCTTGCATGAGCACGTTGCCTTGCACGTCAAAGACCGTCACGTACGCGCCTTGGAGCTGCAGCGCCTCATTCTCCATGCTCTTGAGCGCGATGATCACAGAGTCCTTCGTGCCCGGCACGAACTTGAAGCTCGAGAACCCCCGCTCGCGCGCGACGACGCCATCGCCAATGTACACAACGCTGAGCTCCTCAAAGTCCTCGGACGCGATCACCATGACGTTGGCGCCGCGCTTCTCGTCGGCCACGTCGTCATACGGCTCGCTCGAGACGCGCCGGGGCAAGAGAAACCACTTGCCGTGCACCGGGCTCCACTCGATGGCTTCGTGGATCACATACCTACGTCCATAGGCGTCATGGCATGCATATGAGACGACGACGTTGTACCCGGGGTATGCACAGCCCAGCTTGGCGCGGACCTTGGCGAAGCGGTGGGACCAGTCTTCATGACGCACAGCGCCGTTGAGGCCGACGATCGCGACCCACATGTTGTTCTCGTGCACGATTTCGCCGTCAGACGTAAACTCTTTTCCGATACTGCCAACATAGAGCTCGCCGTTCTTGACGGTCGCCCACTCGTGCTTCTGGCCCTTGTCCGTTGCGCCGTTGCCCTCCATGATGATGTGCGTCGGGACAGCCGCCATCGGCGCCGGGTCGTTCAAGCCAAAGTGCTCCAGCCGAAAGATGATGCCAGTCCGGTCGTCAAACGAGTGCAAGCGGCCTTGGAACCACGCGAGCTCGCTCAGCTCAAAGCCGCGCCCGGCCTCGTTCAACGTCGTCGAGAAGGTCTCGCTGTCGCGGAACATCACCGAGTACGAGGCCGCGAGCTCGCCCGTGGAGAGACTTCCCTCGCTGCCGTCCACGTGGCGCTTGAGGATCGCCCGCTGGAAGATGGACTCAAAGCGCGGCTTGGCGTCGCCCTTGACACGGCTCTGCTTGTCCAAGTCCGCGACCATGCCAAACTCGAACGACGTCGGGAGATGCTTGTAGTCGATCAGCGGCGGCGACGGCGTGTAGCTAGGCCGGCGAAAGTGCGACGACGAGGCTGCGATTGCCGATGGCACGGTCGTGGCCACCGAGAGGAAGAGCGCAAGGCCGAGCATCGCGAGGAGCGCGTAGCGCACAGTCGTGCGGTCGTACCAGTGCATAGAGGCGGGGACAGGCGTCGTCTTCCAAGCGGCTTCGGCGTCGTAGCTGGGCTTCCGTTTCTGCGATGACCCGAACCCGAGGATCGGCAGCATGTAGCGACGTCGGCTGAATGCCACTTGGCATGGGTAAAATTAGCCCCAATCATTTCAGCCAATGGCATCGACGTAAGGCGCTCAAAGGCGGATAATCGCACCATTTTGGCCAATCATAGTGTGTGCACGCGGCACCATATCAGTTCTAAATAGTGTTACTCTTAGGTGCCAGCGCATTGCAGGTATCCGCGGGAAACGCTCGAGCGACAGCGCGTGTAGATGGCTTTTTGTAGCTCAGTTTCTCTTGCTACACTATATGTATAGCCTTCAGGTACATTGCTAACAGCCCGGCCCAAAGCAACCCGACAGGGCTCGTGCCTGCTGGATAGTTTGTCGGTAAATGGTGTACGTTCTTATTGTCGTTAGTCACATGGGCGTGTATCCGGATCTTTGTGAATCTATGGGGCACGCAGTGATTGGTTTAAATAAAATAGGAGTCAGCCAATCATGTCGTCGAAGGCTGGACCAAAGGATCGCAACCCACTCGAATGGGCATGGCGCCAAAATGGCACGTCAGCGAAAGATCTGGAGTCCTAGCATCGTCTTCTTTATCTTAGATCTATTAGTCCTAGCCTAAGACTAGTAGAACTAAGATGACTCGAACTGATATGCAACTTAACTCGTGTAACCAAGCTGAGGACAACGTTGAATTGGACTCGACGTAGAACGTGCCATCCAGTGGCCGTCGACGTGGCTCCTTGGCCCCTTGGGTCGGTGACGCGGCTGAGATTGCGGACACGTACCATTAGACGCACCGGCGTTGCGGTTCGGTAAAAGCAGCTGCTCTCGATCAACGTCGAAACGGCTCGTTAGCGTGTCTTTGAGTGAACCAGATCATAGTGATGACGACGGCACTCGGAGGCCGCTGAGTGGCCAAGGGCGAGCACACTACACTACGTGACACGCGCGGGCCTGTCGTGCTAACACGATCTGCCATAGCCACGCAATCGCGACAACTCTGCGGCGAAGCGACGTCCAAGTAGCCAGTCGAAGGTGCGTAAACGTCAAGGGATGTTCACGCAAGGCTTTCGTACATCAACAAACTCAATAGATTACTGCAACTAACTAACATGCAGCAAATTGGCTATCGAGAGCACGCCCGGTCCTTTAGCGCGCGCTGTTTCCCGCGCATGGGCGACGAGCGACGCCATGACCGCGGCGCGGTTATCGCCGCAGGACGAGCCAGTGATCACGTAGCGACCGTCGTCGAGCTGGTCAAAGTAGAAGATGCGCTCCATGATCGTGTCCATTGCGTAGCCGCCGCCTGCGAGTACATCGATCGTGGCTTTGTCTTCGTGCTCGAGGATGTAGCCGAAGCACGCCTCGAGCAGTGGCCGCGTGATCTCAACGTGCAGCGAGATCTCGAAGCGGACGATGTTGGCGCGGATCGGCGCCATGGCGAGCAGCGGGTTTGGCTGCGCAAAGAACTGGCCGACGCGGTACCACATGCTGATAAAGTTGTCGAGCGTCCGGCCGTGGGCCATAAAGTCGGGCGAGAAGGTCGACCGGAAGAAGGCCTCCTGCGTGGGGCCAAAGCCGCCCTGCGACATCATATTCTTGTACTGCATCGTCAGCGCCATGGGCGCCGAGTGTTCGGCGTAGAACGAGAGAGGCCGGTGCACCTCCAGCGCCCGCTTTTGCGCGGCGAGGGCGTCGATCTGCGCGTTGAGAGTCGCATTGGTGTCTTCGAGGCTGGTTACATTGCGCTTGCGCCGCTCGCGGTAGCAGCGCATGTTCATCTTGCACTGGACGCGCCGGCGGATCTTCTTCTCCTGCGCCGAGAGCGCAGTCGTCGTCGGCGTGGACGGGTGCGTCATTGACGGCAGATTCTGAAATGCCCTCTGCGTTATCACGATCGGCGCCGTGTTTCCGAGCTCAGCTCGGTCCGAGGCCTTGAAACATCTCGCGCTTTGTATGGATGACGAGCGTTTCATTACGCGAGCTCTGATTCCCATACAAAGTACGCGTACCAGCCTTTAACGTTCAGTGATTGGTTGGCTTGGGTAGAAATGTACTATTTAGGCGAATGCCAATGCTTTCGGAAGACGTTTGACGCCCATAATCCAAACCCAGATGGCGAGGGGTTAGCAATTTGATGAGTTATTGTGGGTGGGTAACATTATCATCACACACTGCCACAGAGTGGGTCGACGCTGCTGCCGCTGTGACGTCGTTGGCGTGCCCAAGGCCCGCGCCAAGCTGGAGTTATTAGTTCTTAGAGCAAAGTACTCGGAGGAGTTATGACGTGAATGCTCGTGTAACGAAGCGCAGAGACGGACGACGCCGCAGCCGTTCATTTGGAGGAGCAATCAGCAGCCATGTGGCAGCACATGTGTGATCACGCGTTGGTTATCACGCTGCGTGTTCGGCGGGTTTCCTTCAATGGGTTTTTGGGACATTGTGGGATTTACACTTTTAAAATGGGTTTTACGTAGCTTCAAAACAATGGGATATTGATATAACCAGTAAATCTGATATAGCCCAAAGGGTGACTGTGTTTATCCCAATACGGTGTGCGACCGAACACGGGATTCGTGATTGCTCATGGGTAAGACTGAGCCCCGACAGTCATTTTGTGGAGAATATTTGCCTGGAAGTTCCTTCTCACTCCTGCGATAAGTCTACAAGCACCGCGCCCTGTCCAGGCCTACGCGCGCCATTACACGTGTTGCAAGCGAGCGACGGTCTCGAGGTTGTGTTGGCAGAGCTTGGAACTGCCGATGTCGTCCTGGTCTTCAATGTCGATTTCCAGTCTTATACAATCAGTTCGTGGACGCCTTTTCTGCTCTGACCTAGCGCGACCTGCACAAGGCGGGAATCATTAAGCTCTTCGCAGGAACAACAGCGTATCGCAGCGACTGGAACAATCGAGCGCGTTCATGATCGATCGATCCCTATCAGTGACAGAGCTGTTGACATGGATGCGGCCTCGACTGTTCGCCCCACACCCAACCAACCTCGCCGGCACGGTCAAGCCGTGCACGTCTGAGGAGCCAACCGGCGCTGAAATTTTTTAACGAGGTCCCAATATTCGCAGATCTCTTCAAGAACTCTGCTCTCTAAACATGTTCTCTCCCAATCTGTTGGGTCGGCACGGAAACCGCGGTAGTGTTTCGGCTTATTCGACATCAGGTGTCATCAAAATGTGTTGTGTGATCGAGAGTCACTGGTGCACAAGAATGAGCGATCATCGACCGTGACCACTGTGACGGTCTTCGTGAAGACTGCGCCGCGGCCAATTAGTTAAATTTAGAGACTTGTTAAAACGAACAAACGAGTAGTTGAATTTACCCGAGCTCCACCTTTCCCGTGCAACATGGAAGAGGTACCGCTGCAGCCCATTGATGTGTCGTTGGCGACGAGCCGAGGTGTTGTCGTGCACCAGCGCTTTGAGAACGAAGACCAACAACCGCTACCGTACGCGCCGCAGGTCACGTACCGCGTGAGTCGCCTCCCCGAGGACAAGCTTGTGCGCAGCGACGTCTCGGACGCCGGCTGGACGCCAACTAGTGCCGAGATTGACAAGCTCGACAAGTTTCTGCTCCTGCGCGAAGAGTCGTCGCTCGGTCTGCATATACTCCTTGCGCTCTTTGGGTGCCACACGCTTTGGCCGCTCACGCTCCACTTCGTTCTCGACGGCACCTCGAACGATGTGTTTGTCGCCCGGCGGCCGTTCCAAATGAGCGGGTTCTACGGCTGCCCGATGCGAATGGACGTCGATGCTGTCCGCGGCTCGGAGCTCGTGCGCATCGGTTGCGCGCGCGAGTATTTCTCTCCGTACGGCGCCAAGTGCTACGTCTTGTGTTGCTTGTGCACCACGTACACGGACATTGACCGGTGCGACGGTGACGCCATTGCGACGCGGTACACGGTGCGCACGAACCTCTGCTGCTGCGGCCGCGTCAACAATTGCTGCGGCGGCACCCCCGGGAAGCGGGACGCCATCTACGACATCCTCGCCGCAGGAGGAAACACGGTGTCGCACTTGCATCTCGTGGGCGGCGAGTGGAGCCGCGCGTTTGTGCTCGAGTTCCCACCCGACTCGACCGCCGAAGATCGCGTTGTCACGGCGCTGTTTCAGATCCAAACTGCATTCTTCGAGCCCGGGCCCACCTAAGAACTATGAGCTGTTTGGACTCGTCGACAATCGCTGCAGCTCTCTCGTTCATGGTGAGTTCCAGTGCATCCGAATCACCACACCAGCCGCACCGAGCTGATTTTGTGTCAACTTGATACATTTCGGTGATCGTCTTTCATCATTGTACATAAACTGTACTAATAGTACTTCTTGGGCGATACAGCGAGCGAGGCTTGCATATTTCTGGTCCACAAGCTCATAGACCGAGCACTCAGCCGCCTTGACACGCTGGGAAGGAAGTAGTTTGTCGAGCATGCTATTCAGCCTCCGACTCGGGATGTTCAGCTCCTTTCACCAGCAATCTGTACCTCCGCAGTCTTCGTTGAGAAATCGAAGCGAGCATAATTGTCGGCCGACTCAATTTCGGAGATCTTCGCATGAGGCTTGGAGTCGGTATTCAACCTGTTTAACCTGTTTAACGTCATCAACGTCCGAAAGCCTTGTTTCAAAATCGTCAACTAGGACTCGGTCCGAATTTCATTTTCGTTTGCTTCGTGTCGATCGATGGGCCTCCGACTCGTGGAAGAGCTCGACGCGCCGAGCCTCCTCATCCTCACGCTTCTCTGCGTCCTCGTCGAGGCCAGCATGTACTACTACACGCACCGCGGTGAGCGCCCCGGCGCCGACGAGCTCCGCCTTCAGAAGGAGCATGCGCTCCTCTCGCTCCAAGCCAAGAAGCTCAACTCGGTCGACATGTTTGTCGAGCACTCCAAGATCACGCGCCAAATGAACACGATCAAGAAGCAGGAGCAGACGCTCGCGATGGAGCGCATGGCGCAGTTCACGGTCTCGCCGCTCGTCAAGTACGTGCAGCCGGCTTGCCTCGTGCTAATCGTCGCCTTGTACTGGAACGCGCCCCTGGTTCTCTTCCCGTCCGGGTACCTCATGCCCCTCGAGCGCCTCCTCGCGATGCCCTTCTTCCCCGCCGGCGTCGTCTCGGCCGGTGGCTGGTGGTGCCTCTGCCGTCGCGTGCTCGGCAAGGTGCTCGTCTAAGACTCAACTCAGCATATAAGGTTGGTGATTAGCCCATGTTATCGCCGCCGTAGCCTGCGCTCTGGCCGCCGAGGTAGTCGCGCCGACCCGCGTTGATCTTGCGCGCATTGGCGTCGAGCTTGGGGCAGTCGGTGATGCGATGGCCGAGGCCGCCGCAGAAAGCGCAGCCCTTGGAGCCTGTTGCGTTGGCCTGCGACGTCTCCATCGGGTCCTCGAGTGCGCTCAGCACGGGTGGCACGCGCTGCTTGGCCTCGACGAGGAGGTGCTTGAGGTCGAGGAGCGCGCTCTCGGGCACGTTCTTGTTGATAAAGGTGGTCGCGACGCCCGTCTTGCCGCAGCGACCCGTGCGGCCGATGCGATGGACGTAGTTTTCAATCTCGGTGGGCATGTCGAAGTTGATGACGTGCTGGATGTCGGGGAAGTCGAGGCCCTTGGCGGCAATGTCGGTGGCCACGAGCACGTCTTTGGCGCCGACCTTGAACGCGTCGATCGCTGCGTTGCGCTCGACCTGGTCCTTCCCGCCGTGGATCGAGACGGCCGCGACGCCCTTGAGCAGGAGGTACTCGTGGATGTCGTCGACGTCGCCCTTGCGCTCGCAGAAAATGAGCACGGGCGGCGCCGTCTTCTGCAGACACTCGAGGAGGTACACGATCTTGGCCTCTTGCTTGACGTACTCGACCTCCTGGAGGACGTCCAAGTTGGCGGCGCCGGCGCGACCGACGTTGACGAGGATCGGGCGCACGAGCCTAATTCAAGATTGAGATTCCGATTGAGATTCGATCGGGCGTACACTTGTTTGGCGAAATCCTGGAATTTCTGCGGCATGGTCGCCGAGAAGAGCAGCGTCTGGCGCTGGGACTTGAAGTGGTTGAAGATCGCCGCGACCTCCTCGTCAAAGCCGAGGTCCAGCATCCGGTCGCCTTCGTCGAGGCAGATGTACTCGCACAAGTCCAAAGTCATCTTTTTTGAGTTGAGGAAGTCCTTGAGGCGGCCGGGCGTGGCCACGACGATGTGAACCCCAGCCTTGAAGATCAGGTCGAGCTGCTCGCGCTTGTCTTGGCCGCCGATGCAGAGAATGCTCCGGAGCTCTGGGAACCTACACGAGGAGGCTCAGACGCGCTTGTCGTCGAGGGGAGGCGTACCCGCCCTTGAAGAGCGCCGAGGTGAAGTGCTGGACGATCTCAAATGTTTGCCGCATGAGCTCGCGCGACGGCCCGAGGATGACGCCGAATGGCCCTTCGCGGGCCACGATGGGCATCTTGACCTCCTGCTCGAGCGCGCGCAGCACCAGCGGCAGCGTGAACGTCATCGTCTTGCCGCTGCCGGTGAACGCAATGCCAATGATGTCTCGACCCGAGAGGATACATGGGATTGCCTGCACCTGGATCGGCGTCGGCCGCACAATGTTCTTGGCCTTGAGCGCGGCTAAGATCGCGGGCGGAAAGCGCATGTCGGCGAACGACTTGATCGGCGGCGGGATGTCGTCGCCGTCGACGAGGATGTGCCACTTCTTCCGGACGTTCTCGCAGTCGTCCTCGGTCATGCGCGCAATGTGGCGAGGCGGCGTCCACGTCGTCGTCATCGACTCGGTGTATCGGATGCCCTCGGCGCGCTCGGCCGCCGAGACGAGCGCCGCCTTCTGCACCTGCGACGCTTCGTGCAAAAGCTGGACCTCGGACGTTGTCTGCACGCGAATGTCTTCGTCGACACCAGCTTCCTCGCGTCGTTTCTTCATCTCGAACGACTGATCGATCAAGCTCATGGTCGAGCGCGCGGGCGCGGCCTCGAGCACCTCGTCGGGCTGCGGACCCGGCGCTTCGTCGCTCGCCTCGGGTGCCTCGTCGCTCTCTTCGCCATCCACTTGGCGAAGCTTCTCATGGACCAGCTTGCGCCGCTGCAGTCGTCGCGCTTCTTCTTCTTGGCGACGCTTCTTCAGCGGAACGTACAGCCCATCGTCCATCGTCCCCAGCATCCACGAGAAATGCAATCGACTAAACCGGCCGACCGTAGTGTGCCAAACGACTAGCACTATCTTCGTACATCCTACATTGACATGTACTCGTACATCCGAATCATCACTAATTTGTATTGAATACGTACGCCAGTACATCTCGTACAATCGTTCGAATGTACGTTAGCTAGTCGCTCTGCAGTTTGTACCAGTTGAAGCTCGCTCCATGCTCCAGAACGCTTGCACCGATGATCCAATGCTCTCAGGACGATAAATCACAGGGAAATATGGTCCTAGCGACGACCTTCAAACGATATTTGTCGGTTGATGGTGGTCGAAACTAGGGAATTTTGTCAATTTACATGTTAGTCGAAAGCAGAAAAGGGCAACCGACTCGCCTGGCAAATAGCGCGGTTAGGGAGGCGGTGGCGATGTGGGAGGATCGTCGCTGCGCTCGTCTGCGCGCATCAGCAGCAAGAAGGACGGACTGCTTGGGGTTGACGAGTTGGCGACGTTGGTTGAAATTGGGTCGGCGATCCGAAATAGAGCGTGAAAATCGGAAAGTGCCGAAACGAGGACGCATGGACGCCCGAAAATCATTGGTCGGCCCTCACGACGACGGGGCGATGGAGGGCGAGACGCTAGTGGCGTCGCCGCTGGCGGAGCTGGACGTGCTCCTCATGCAGCTCATCGAGAAGCACCCGAACCGCAACGTCGTGGCACTGACGGCGGCCTGGATCGCGGCCCACGCGCTGGAGCCGTGGACCGTGTACATCCAGATCAAGCTGCGCACGTGGATCAGCGGCGACCGCGCGCGGACGTTCAACAACAAGCTCATGCTCTTCTACGTGATCCACGAGTTCCTCAAGACGCCGACGCCGCCGGCCGAGCGCAAGGCGCGCCAGCACGCGTGGACCGGCACGGTCGAGCACATCTTCCTCACGTGCATCCGAGACATGGACGAGTCGCGCAAAGTCGAAGAGAACAAGAAGAAGCTCTTCAAGACGCTCGGCCGCTGGGAAGAGCTCGGGATATTCCGCGCCAAGCTCCGCGACTGGCGACGCTTCATCACGGGCGAGGCGCGGCCGCGGAAGCCGCCCCAGAAGATGCTCTTGCCCGGCGCCATGGACCCGTTCGATCGGGACGGCATGAACCTGCAGATGTCAGTGCATCGGCTCAACCTGCCGTCACTCATGGAAGTGCAGTACGCATCTCTCAGCGACAAGAAGCGTCACTGGCGCTTCACGGGCGTCGCCTTCATCGACGCGCTCAGCCACGCGCTGGGCCTTCCACCCCACATCGTTGTCACGGCCATGCACTACTTCCACACGCTCTTCGACAAGGGGTTTTACGCCCGGGAGCGCTACAAGATTGCCGCCGCCTGCCTCTTCCTCGCGGCCAAAGCCTCGAGCCAGCGCATGCGGCTGCTTCGGATGGTCCACGTCATGCATTACATCCTCGAGGTAGAGTTATCGCCGTGATGGTATGGCGACCAACCTCCAAGTAGACACCGCTTCAGTACGGCGACGAAGAGAAGGAAGAGCTCGAGCGCATGCACCTGTTGCACTACGAGCTCCAAGTGCTACGCGGCGTCTCGTACGACCTCACGATCGACCTCCCGTACTGCCACTTGTACCAGCTCGTCAGCAAGCTGCCGCCGTCCTGTACGCTCTCGCCAACACGAGCATGCCTGACGCTCCGAGTAGGTAGCAGCGAGGTTGGCGACGTCTCCAAAGTCATCTTGCGCGAGCTATTCTGGACGACCATGTGCATCGACTACTCGGCCGTGCACCTCGCGCAAGCCAGCATCGTGATCGCGTGCCACATCAAGCAGACGCGCTGCGAGTCGGCGTGGCTCTCCGACAAGCAGCACGCGGCCATGGTGCCGCTCCGTACGCGCAGCACTCGACGCGGCGAAGGTCCTCATGCTTTTTGTAGAGCGCACGACAATGCTAGAGCAGTACATGCAGCTGCACGCGTGGAAGACGCAGCAAACGCGGCTCTTCCAGGCGGCGACGGCGACCGACGAGCAGAAACGCCACTTCCTCGTGACCCAAAAGGGGGGGCTCACGTGGCCCGTGCACGACTCGATATCTCTCCCGAGTGAAATGACCAACCAAGTCGAGTCGCGGCCACCACCGCGATCGCCACCAAAGAACCGCACCCGGTCGCCCATCAAGGACCGCGCGCGGTCGCCGGACCGTCGCCACCGATCGCCGTCCAAAGACTACCGCAAGCCACGGTCGCCCGCCAAGGACCGCCGACCCCGGAAGCGGTCGTCGTCGCCCCGGAAGCGGTCGTCGTCGCCCCGGAAGCGGTCGTCGTCGCCCCGGAAGCGGTCGTCGTCGCCTCGAAAGCGGTCGCCGTCGCCTCGGAAGCGGTCGCGGTCGCCGTCGTACCGGAAATCGAGCTACCACACGAAGCGGTATTCGCGGAGCCGCAGCCCGGACCGGGGTAGTCGCTACTACGCGTCGCGTCGCCGGTCGCCGTCGTACGACCGCCGATCGCGTCGGAGAAAGGACGACTACGAGAGCGACTACAGCAGTAGCAGCAGCGACGACGACGACCGGTACCGTCGCCGGTCGTCGACCAAGAAACACAAGAGTCGCCGCTAACCCAACACGACGTTGTGTTATAACAAGCTGTTTACAATTTGGCGGCCGCCCGACGCGCGGTCTCGAGGGTCTCGGCCAGCGACGTGATGCTCTTGGTGAGCGCCGCCGCAAACGTGTGGCACGAGACGCGCTCGATCGGGTCGTCGGTCGCCTCTGCCGTCTTCTTCATGGACGACACCGTGTACCCGATAAAGGTCGGCTCGACCGAGTAGCAGATGCCGATGCCGTACTCGACCATGGGCGCAAAGCCGCCCCAGAGCCACTCGTAGCCCGAGACGTTGGACGTCGAGAGCACAAAGTTGCCGTTCCCGCCCGACTTGGTGTACGAGGCGTCCGAGAAGACCGGGTGCAGCGGCGCACCGGCGAGCACCGAGGCGATCTGGAGCCCGAGCAGGTGCCGGTCGGCGCCCTGGCCGTCGAGCGCCTCCATCGCGAGCTCCTGGTGCTTGGCGACCGCGGCCTCCAACTTGGCCATGTCGGACGGCGCTTGCAGCCAGGCGACGACCTCGTTCGTGCACGACCGAATCGTTTCCGTGCGGCCGTGGGCAAACCAGCGCGTGTGCGCGCTCTCGTACGTGGGGAGGACGCGGCCCCAGAGCTGCCACGCAGTGAGCTGGATCGCGAGCTGCACAAACGTGTCGGGCGGCACGCGCAGGTCCGACTTGATGCGCAGTCGACCGACCTCCTTGTGTCGCGTGACGCACGCCTGGAAGCGCGCGGCCTTGGCGGCAAACGCCGTCGAAACATCAGCGATCGTCGCACCGACATGCGCCGGCACGTCGAACGAGAGGAGCGTCGGCGGCGGCAAGAACGCACTCGACGTGCTCTCAATACGCGTCTCCATGCTCCCATTGCGGCTCAAGTACCGGCGCCCGAGCCTACATCACATATTCCGTACTTGCGCAATCGTATCAACTTGATACTAGACCGACCATTCAAAGACCGAGCGGTACACGGTCGCGTCGGCGTTGCCGTGCTCCATGTTGCAGCCGACGTTGCCGTTGCCAAAGACGATGAACTGGAGGCTCTTGTCATACCACCGGTTGTGGGCCTCGCCTACGACCGAAACTCGGATCTCTGCATCGCATGGCCTCCGTGTCTACCAGCCGCGATGTGCTGGAGGCACTCGGTCGGGGTCGTCGGCGTGCTCTCGTCCATGCACACAGCGAACAAGCTCTCTTGGATCATCTGCAAGCTCGCCGCGTTCGTGCCCAGAGGCAGCTACGAGATGCATTTCGTATTGTGTGGCAGGTCTTCCGTCCTACCAGCGCCTCCCGGGCTTCCGTCCACACGTCGCGGTGCGCCGACGTGAGTGCACCGACCGCAAGCTACAGAAAACTCGATACATTGACACTTGAATACATCGACGTACTGTTGTCGGGAACGAATGTGCGTACTCGTAAATGAACTGCAGCTGGCGCTCGAGGTCGCCGATCGTAAGCAGCTGGTGCTGCGCGTCGACCACGTTGAGCGCAAAGGGGTAGCCTACGTTCCAGACGAAGGTGCAGGAAGTAGACACACTAGAGACGCACCGCGGCAAAAGACGACGACGTGGTCGATGCGCTTGACGCCGTCGAGGCGCTCGTACGTGTCGGCTGGCATCTGCGGGATGCGGCAGGACGCAAAGATGCGACGGAACATGTCCATGCACATGGGGCGGCGACCCATGTGCTCCGGCGCGACCTTCTCGAGGAGCAGCATCGCATGGTACTCGGACGTGTACCGGATGATCTCGGCCGCGCGGCGGCACTGCGGCACCGACTGGTCTAGCTCGTTGAACGACCCAAAGCCCGAGATCATGTTGATGTCGATCGCCGTCGGAGCACGGTACGACGTGTAGCCCGCTACGCCCATTTGCTCATTAGCGACAAAGAAGGAACCTGTGATGGCGCGTACCGTATTCCCACCACTCGGCCAGCTAGTGCAACATACAGATATGAGATGCGAGGCCAGAAGCAGCGAAGCCGTACCCAGTTGCGCTCCGTAGCCGCGCGCTCGAGAAGCGCTTCGTGGAGGGCGTGGGCTTGGCCATTGGGCCCGACAAAGTCCTGCATGAGCTCAGTCGTGTGCTGGAGCTCTTCCTACAGAGCGAACGCATTGGCATCGGGTCCATGCAGCGGCAGGCCACCTTGGTCACGAAGGGCTCGATGGACTCGAGGTACTTGCGCGCCGTCTGCTGCAGGTCTGGCACGGGCAGGCTCGGGAGGTCCGCCTGGTGGGCGTACCTACATGCGGCATGAGGCGGCGACGCCAAGCAGACCCACGGACGTCGACAGCGTAGCTCGCTTGGTCATTTCCAATTCCAAAGTGGCGATCCAAAGGTCGTGTGGCACCGCGGATCGCGTTTTCATTGGCCAAAATGACGCGCTCCTTCAACCTGCGCGGCGAATCAGAGCGCATGATTGCGGGTTGAGTCAACACTGGTCCAAGTGCTGGCTCGCACAGTGTAGTTGGTCAACCTACGAGCTTCAATGCCGGTACCTGCAGAGCTCCAGCATGGCAGGCAGGTCGGTTGAGCGATCTTGCAGCCTGCGATTGTTGCAGATGGCCGCGTCCACATTGTCATGTGTATGTGGGTGTTTTGATGCGCCGGTTGCGACGTCGTGAAAGGTTGAGCGGTCGTAGCCTCTACACTCTGGGAAGCTTCTGGTGACGTCTGACGTTGCGAGCAACAGCAGGACGCAAGTGCGGTCGTCTTCTTCTGCCACCTTCTCCACTATCATTTGGCAAGACGCGGGAGAATGCACGCTGCTAATCACGCAGCTGTCTTGCCCTTGGCCTCACTCACCATGCTATAGTGTACTGCTTCTGCCTTCCTTTGGCAGCGACGAAGGACCGCTCTTGGTGGCCATGCTAGTCGTCCTAAGAGCACGGGAGCCTTGTGCAGGAATGCGCAGAGTTTTGCGCAGAGCCAGGAATCTTGCCCGCTATCAAGGTGGCAATATGATATGCGCAAGCCGCTTCTGCCAGCATGGCGTCGCTCCCTCTCGCCGACCTGCTACAGGGTTCGATCCCTGGCCACCACGGACATTTCCCCCGCGAAAGTCCAACACCACTGCATTGTGCGTGGGCTAGTACCAGTACAGTACAGGCTTCTCAGTCCACAATGGACACGTCCCGCACCAAGTTGAAGTTCCCTCGCCGCTTTCTTGGGGATATGCGCACCACTTGTTTGTGATGCGAATCGTCAAATCGAATGACATATCGTGCCCCTCTCGCGGTAGTAAAGGACGCGGTGTTCCACGCCCGACCGCGGCTTCGTGTCGTCGACACCGCACGAAAGGCTACTTCGCCCACGTCCCTCGCACGACGCCGGGTACGTACACCCAAATGCTGATCCCCACCCGAGAGCATTGCATAAAAGCGGTGTGCGGGCAAGAGAAATGGACGGTTGCGGCCGATGGACCCCAAAGACACGAGCGCTTTGTGTCAAGCGCGCCATCCACTGCCGACATGGTGGTGCGCCGGCGCCAATCAAGTGCTTGGGTATCGCGCGGTCATTGACACGGAAACGCAGGCGGCGCCATCGGAAGCCTCATCAAGCTCTGCATGTCAAGTTCGGTGGGAAACATCCGCCGGCTCTTGGGTGTGCGCCGCAGCGCCGCACATTCCGAAACGACGTCGTCCTCGCGCGTCCTCACTTCCACTCGATCCGCGACGGACCTCCGAGATTCGCCAGCAGGAATTCAATGATGGTCGCGATGTAAAGGCTCTGCCAGCGGCAATCGCGCCACTGTGCCCAACTGGCTTGTGTATCTCACCTGGTCGCTGAGATTTGACATGAGGCAGCTGAGACGTTGGCTTCAGTCATTTTCATGCATTTTTCACAGCAGAAATTAGCAACGTGTATAAAAATACATGCGAATGCATCGCTGACATGTACGAGACAATAAAACCATGCCTATTTTTTCTTGCGGAGTATACAAAACGAAGGTGTCGCCGAATAAAATTCCAGTTGGTTTTTAATGCGTCGCACGCCGGAACCCATACACATCGTTGCGCTGGCTTCCAGCGTGTTACACCGAAGTTACATGGGCAGCAGGTATAGGAGGTGCAGCAGCAGCAGCTCGCGCCTCTGCATACTTCATTCTGAAAACGCATGAACTCTGCGCGCTCGCACCCAAGCTCCCGCGGCGCCTCCATGCCCGAGTCGTCGTCCACGGCCGGCGAGTTCGCCGCTGGCTGGCTGTGGAAGAAGTCGGGTCGCTTCTCGTCATGGAAGTACCAGTACTTTATCCTGCGCGGCGCCCTTCTCTCGTACTACGACAAGTACCCTGGCGAGGAGTACGCCCACCTCTTCGCGCCCGGCTACACGCAGGGTGACACATCCCCGCGCGGCGTCCTCCGCGTTGTGCACGTCGAGGTCGGCCAGAAGAGCGCGATCGCCTTCAAGGTCTATGGCTCGTCCGGCAAGGTCCTCGACATCCGCGTCGAGACCTCAGTCGCGCGCGCCAAGTGGGTCAACGGCCTCAACCTCGCGTCGCAGCTCGGCAAGCGCAAGCTCGCGACCACATCTGTTTCAATCGACTCGGCCGACTCGTCGCTCGACTCGGACGACGAGAACGCCGTCAACTGCGCAGGCTACCTGACCGTGCCCAAGCAAGGCAACAAGTACTTTGTGCTGCAAGGCAACATGCTCTCGATGCACGCGGACGAAAACCCGTGGACTGTCCCGACGTCGCGCAGCTACGTTCTCGGTGTCAAGCCGCTGCCCAACAGCCAGACGCTCGAGGTGCGGCTAAGCCACGGCACCAAGCCGCTGATTCTGCAGGCGCAGAGCAGCCAGGAGCGCGAAAAGTGGGTCCACCACATGACCGAGTGCTGCCTGACGCGATAGACGTCGCCCCGCCCACGGCCAATGAAAGTGTTTCGCGGCCCACCTTATAATTATATGTCTCGATGTTATCCTCGAGTCGTGCTGTAGCAATGTTAACGTAACTACGATATGTCCTCCGATAGAAGGATGGATATGGATTCTTCATGTGTTCTCTACGCGGTATACTCTCTTCCCAAGCTATTCCCCAAGGCCTAGCGACACATGAGCGACGGGCAAACACGTAGAGCTACCGAGCAGGAGAAGGCAGGCGGTCTGCGTCGCGACGTGCGTCGCCGCCACGTACAGCACACTGGACGACGGCATCGAGTAGATCTCGTTGATCCAGGACGAGACTGTTGAGAGCGACCCACAAAACCCCGTTAGGAGCGCGTGCTGGACCCACTAGAACATAAAATCAGATCTCTTGCACGTGGGCGTGCCACGTACGGTCGCAGCGAGGGTTGACGTTGGCATCGCGAGGACGCCGATGCAGCTCACGATGGACGCCAAAACGTTGGCGACGAACGTCCCGAGTGGGAACGTCTTGGACTTGTTGAGACGGAGCCCAAGTCCGTATCGAAGGAGGGCGCCGAGCGGCCCAACGACAACGGCCAAGTAGCCATCGAGGTACAGCGCAGCGAGAATGATTGCAAGGACCGTGGCCAGAGCGCACAGGCTGTACACGACGCCATGGCGCACTGGCTTGAGCGTCGAAGCGCCAGCTGCGGGAAGCGGTGGCGCCTCTTCCATCGCCAGCGCCAGCCGCTGCCACTTGCCATCCTCGTCCTACCGCATTTCGAGGCGCGCTTCAACGAGTAGCCGGCTACAACAGTATATACCTGTTGGACGCTCCGGCTCTGTGCGTACGCGAGAACGTCGCTCCACGCAGCTTGGGCGGCAGCTGCGTGGACGCGCCCCGTGTAGACAAGCCCAAGATGGCGCCCCGAGAGAAAGGCGGCGAGCGACGTCGTGAGCTGCACGAAGAACATGAAGGTCGCGTTCGCTGCCATGGACCCGAGGTACTCCTGCGCGAGCACGAGTTCCCATGATGCAAACGTCGTGCAGCAGCCGCAGAAGCCGGTCGTCACGCCCGTCCAGAAGGCTTCGTGGCGAGCGGTCTTGAGCGGCTGCGCAAGGCCCATGACGAAGCAGCCGACAACGTTCGGGAGGAAGAACGAGACCCCCATCGCAGTCAAAATTGACGGAGCAGCCTGCGTCGCCTCGATGGACTTGGAGGCTGACGTGAAAAGCACGCGGGCAGCCACGCCAAGGTATGCCCAGATGCATATCCATGCGACGGCGACGGCGGGCGACGGTGGCCGTGCGATGGGCTCGGGTGGCGACGGTGCGTGCGCGGTGGTGTTGGTATCGCTGACCAGGAGCTCGTCCATTTCCAATTGCGCGTGCTAAAAACACCCACCCACAGTCCACAGACGGTGAATTGACCATCGCGCGTAGGACAGAGCGGTGAGACAGAGCTATACATAGGATGTTCGACCTTTAAACAAGCAAGGTCGCCAGCGTGATGGACGACGCCGTGTGCATACCGTCCTGCTGTGACCACCGGCGGGCGGCGAGGTGGTGCGAAATGTTGCGTGTGCCTAGCCATAGCAAACGGTCGTACTGATTGGTCCAAACCAATCCCACAAAAGATGCTGGCAGTCGCCCGGCGATCCTTCCACCACGTGCCCGTGCTGCCGGCGGAGACGCTCGCCTTCTGGGTGCCGGCGCACGCTCGGACGTCGCCTGCTGTCTTTGTCGACGGAACCGCCGGCCTCGGCGGCCACTCGCGGCTCTTGCTTGAAGCCCACCCGCAGGCGCAACTGCTCTGCATCGACCGGGACCCGCAGGTCGACTTTGCCGACTCCTGACAGGCGCAAGACACGCTGGCGCGTAGATTCTGCACATGGCACAAGAGCGCCTCGCTTCGTTTGGCGCCCGCGTGCGCTTTGCCCAAGGCTCGTACTTGGACATTGCTTCGCACCTGCACTCTGCCGGTACATGACGCTCGTCATGACGCGTCGGTGCTCCTAATAGTTGTCTAGGTTTGCCGGCTGAAGTGGATGGCGTGCTCGTTGATCTCGGTGTCAACAGGTGCGGAGGTAATATAGGCTCCAGCGCTCACGCAGCTATGTAGTCACCACCTGGACTCGGGCGACAGAGGCTTTAGCATCTACCACGACGGTCCGCTGGACATGCGCTTCGACCAGTCCAACACTGACCTTGCGCCCGCGTCCGTTCTCGTCAACACCCTTTCCGAAGTCGAGCTCACCAAAGTACGTCGCACGGGGAGCCACTTGGGTCAAGGCGCCACTAGATGTTTAAAACGTACGGGGAAGACCCGCTGGCCAAAGAGTACGCCAAGGCGATCATCCGGCGGCGCGAGACCGAGCCGTTTCAGCGCACGGAGGGCTTGAAGCGCTGCATCGAGGCCATTGCAGACAAGTGGAAGCCCAAGTCTGGCAAGGCCAAGGCCAAGAAGCAATTTGTCCACCCTGCGACGCGCCTCTTCCAAGTACATACATGATCAACAGAGGTTCACGCTAAGCTTGCTTAGGCGCTGCGCATTGCTGTCAACCAAGAGCTCGATCACGTCGAGGTACGTCCCCTTGCACCAAGGACAGGCATAAAACTTTGGCGACCAGAAAGGAATTCCCGCCATGATGGACTGCCTCGCGCCGCGCGGCCAGCTAGGTAGGCTCGAACGGTATGCATCTTGCGAGACAGCGCAATAGCTGCCATCGCCTTTCACTCGCTCGAAGATCGGTGGATCAAGCGCTACTTCCGGGACGCCGTCGCGATGGACGACGACGACATGGAGGAGCGCTGGCCCCACAAGGTACGTGCTGCCAAGAGGATAGACCCAACGTAATGACGTAGCGGTTTGAGGTCGTACAAAAGAGAGCGGTGCAGGCGACCGACGCCGAGATCGAAGCCAACGCCCGCAGTCGCAGTGCCAAGTTGCGTGCGATCCGCCGTGTTGCCTAGTTGCAGCTTATAGCGCTGAATACGAAGAACTGAGCCACGACGTGGCATCCCGAGGCCGCAGCGACCGGAAATTCTGGAAAGGACAGTTGGGTGATTTTAGCTTTTTTCGGTTGCGTATCCGGCGCTCGCATTTTCAAACCCGCTCCGTCCGTTGCCTCGTCCTCCTCCTCTCGGCCACCATGTCGTACATGCTTCCTCACCTCTGTTCGGGCTGGGCCGTCGATCAGGCCATCATGACCGAAGGTGACCGCGTCGTCGTCATGCGATTTGGGCATGACCATGATCCTGTGTGTATGCAGATGGACCAAGTGCTTGCCGGCATTGCCGAGGACGTCAAGAACTTTGCCATCATCTACGTCGTACGTCACCATCCATCGCTCGCATGTGGGCTCATGATGCGTGGCATTAGGTGGACATCACGGAGGTGCCCGACTTTAACACGATGTACGAGCTCTACGACCCGTGCACCGTCATGTTCTTTTACCGCAACAAGCACATCATGATCGATCTCGGCACGGGCAACAACAACAAGATCAACTGGGCCTTCAACAACAAGGGCGAAATGATCGACATCATCGAGACTGTCTACCGCGGCGCGCGCAAGGGCCGCGGTCTCGTCATCTCGCCCAAGGACTACTCGACCAAGTACCGCTACTAGACCCTCGGCCTCGTCCCCGTAGCCACGCCGTTGCTATCCACGCTAAGCCATCATCGTCGCCCAGGTGTAGCTCAAGCTCAATACACGTCGTGTTCTATTTAGGCTGTGGTTTTTCTGGGCAGCGCACATGTAGGGCGGGCGTGGATTCGTGGGCGTCGTTCGCATGCACAATTACTCTTCGGGCAGGAACGGGTTCGAGTAGAGCTCTTGCGTGCCATCGACGGGCGAGATGAGCATGACCGACGTCCCTCGGCAGACGAGGAGCCCGAGGTTGCGCGTCTCGCCGGGCGTCTCGAAGTACTCGACGGCCTCGTCGAGCACGAGGTTCACGAGCTGGTCGTAGCCCTTGAGGACGCCCGTGACTTCGCGGCCGCCGGCGAACTTGATGCGCACGCTCTGGTCGATGAACTTGGCCAAGTCCAGAATTGGGTCGCGCTTCGATGCCATCTTGTCCGTCCGCTTCGTATGTGGTCTCCCTTCCAACGCGCGATGCCCATTGGTGCAAAAACCAACATTTTAACCAATCGTTGCGGCCGACAAGCCTGCATTTGATTGGTGGTTCGATATTTTGTGTTTCGAAAAATGGCGCTCCAAGTGGCACCGACTGCACCGCACAAGATCTTATCAGCTTATAGTCTGCATTATACGTTATTGTGATCGACGCTTTGATGGAGGGTTTGTCAAATGGCTTCCGCCAAGTTGAAGTGAAAGTAGCTACGCAAAGCAGTACAGTACTTATATCTTAGTACCGCTAAGGCTCCGGTACAAAATAGCCCTGCAAACCGCCTACGAATTATCAGATCTACAATGCGCTCCTGTGCAGTACATTGAAGCCGCTATGCGAATGAACGAGGCGCATGCGCCGTCCTCGACGCTGCAAATGGGGCGGTGATCCCGGGTGCCACCACATGATTGGTCAAAAGCCAACGAAAAGCTGCCAATGAAATTCTGCGACAGTTGCAATTTCGGAGCCATGGACGGCGACTACACGCTGCGCGTCTGCTGCATGGGCGCAGGGTACGTCGGCGGCCCGACGATGGCCGTCATCGCCAAGTTTTGCCCGACCATCCGCGTCGTCGTCGTCGACGTCAGCGCCAAGCAGATCGCGCGCTGGAACTCGACCGACGACCTGCCCATCTACGAGCCCGGGCTTCTCGAGGCCGTCACGGGCAGCCGCGGCAAGAACCTCTTCTTCTCGACCGACATTGACCGCCACATCAAGGAGGCCGACCTCATCTTTGTGTGTGTCAACACGCCGACAAAGGCTTCGGGCTTTGGCGCGGGCGCGGCCGCCGACACCAAGCACGTCGAGGCCTGCGCGCGCATGATCGCCCAGAGCGCGACGACCGACAAGATCGTGGTCGAAAAGTCGACAGTGCCTGTGCACACGGCCGAGGTGCTCAACGCTGTCTTTGACGCCAACAGCTCGTGGGCCCTCGTTTACGCTGCAGGAGGCTCATGCACTCGATCGTAGTAGCTCGGTCCAGTTTGAAGTGCTCTCGAACCCCGAGTTTCTCTCGGAAGGCACGGCGATCCGCGACCTCATGGCACCCTCGCGCATTCTCATTGGCGGCGAGAGTACGCCGTCAGGGCAACAAGCGGTCGCGACGCTCGTCAGCATCTACGAGCACTGGGTGGCCCGCGGTACGTTCTTCTTGCGCTTCGCTACAGTGCTGAGATTTTGCACAGACAAGATCCTGACAACCAACGTGTGGTCGTCGGAGCTCTCGAAGCTCGTTGCGAACGCGTTCTTGGCGCAGCGCATCTCGAGCATGAATTCGATCTCGGCGCTCTGCGAAGCCACCGGTAGTAGCAGCGCTCGATTTCGACTGGTTCAATCTGATATCGCAGGCGCCGACGTGACGGAGGTCGCACGGGCCGTCGGGACGGACCCGCGCATTGGCGACAGGTTTCTCCAAGTGTCAGTGGGCTTTGGCGGCTCGTGCTTTCAAAAGGACATTTTGAACCTCGTGTACTTGGCCGAGAGCTGCCACCTCCCCGAGGTCGCGGCCTACTGGCGCAGCGTCGTCGACATGAACGAATTTCAGAAGAACCGGTTCTCCAAGCTCATCGTGTCGCAGCTCTTCCACTCGGTCTCGAACAAGAAGATTGCGATCCTCGGGTTTGCCTACAAGAAGGACACGGGCGACACGCGCGAGACGGCCGCCGCCGCCGTCATCAAGGCGCTCGTCGCCGAGCGCGCGCAGCTCTTTGTCTACGACCCCAAGGTCGAGCGCGACGACATGCTCCACGAGCTGCGCTACCAAGGCATGGCCGAGGTATCTCTCTATTATCTTGACACATTGATACATTTCGGGCTAGAGCGACATTGCAAGCATCCAGATCGTGTCGACGCCGTTTGAGGCTACGGCGCAGGCGCACGCGATTGCGGTCTTGACCGAGTGGACCGAGTTTACGCAGCTGCCGTTCGAGTCGATCTACCACAACATGCTCAAGCCTGCGTTTGTCTTTGACGGCCGCAACCTGCTCGACCACGCGCTGCTGCGAGCCATTGGCTTCAAGGTGTTTGGCATTGGTAAAAAGCTGCAGTAGAAACCACAGTGTATAGAATTATAAGATTAAGGCTGCAGGAAGACGAGGCCTTCAAACTTATAGCCGCCCGGGACTTCGGTGTCGGGCAAGAGCACGCTGCCCGTCGCAACATCAAGCACCGAGAGAAACGTGGTTTGCATCCCCGCCACGTTGTCCTCAACGCTCTTGAGCGCCGCGATCACGCGGTCGTTCGTGCCCGGCACGAACTTGAAGCTCGCGTACCCGCGCTCGGGCACGACGGCGCCGACATTGCGCACTTCGATGTCGTCAAAGTCCTCGGAGGCGAGCACGAGCTTGTTACTGCCCTTAACTGCGTCGACCTCGTCGCTGAACGCTTCGTCCGAGACGCGCCGCGGCAGCAGGACCCACTTTTGCAGCTGCTCGCTCCACTCGACGGCTTCGTGGATGACGTAGCCCGACGCACCGAGCGCAGTCTGCACCGCATCGAAGCGGGCCGACCAGTTGACATGGTCGATGCGAGGAGCGTCGAGCGACGACAGCTGCGCGACCCAGCGGTGGTAGTCGTTTTCGATGACGCCACCGGGCGCCCAGTTGACGCCGTGGCTGCCGACGTACAGCACGTCGCCTTTGACCGTCGCCCACTCGTTCTTGGCGCCCTTCTCGACACTTCCGTCGCCCGCCTTGATGGCCATAAGCGGCGTCGCCTGCAGCGGACCGGTCGCGTGAAACTCAAAGTTGGTCAGCTCAAAGACCATGCCCGTGCGGTCGTCGAACGTGAGGAGCCGGCCTTGGAACCACGCGAGCTCGCTGAGCTCGAAGCCGCGGCCCTCTTCGTTGATGTCCGTCGTGATCGTCACGGCGTCGTGCCACTCGACGCTGTAGCGGCCGTCGGCGTCGCGCACGAGGAGCGCGCGCTGGAAGAGGGCCCGCCAGTCGAGCGTGCCGTCAACCTTGACCTCCTTGCTGGCCGTGTCGAGGTCCGTGATGAGGCCCATCGCAAACGTCTCGCGGCGCTGCTTGGTCTGACGCGCCGGCGTCTCGTCGTCGAGCTTGCTACCACAGAGGCCCATGCTGGTGGCGAAAAGCAAAGTGAGTCGACCTCGTTTTGGAGTGGGGTCTAGTTAGACAGGCGCGTTTTGAGGGACCCACCCTCTCGCGCGGCTGCATCGACGACCACAATCCGGCAGCTGCTTTGTGATCGGAGCTGATCGCACGGCCTGATCGCAGCGATTGCGGCGGTTGCCCATCAGGCCCTCGCATCAGACGCCAAGCCGGCGCTTGTCTTGCATGCAGGTAGTGTGGTCGCTGCGGTATACTCATCAAGGCCATTTGACAGCAGCGCTGGTGGCGCCCTGCGTGCAAGGAGGCGAGAGTCGCTCTCGCTTATTCTGCCTCTGCACGAGTCGCCGACGAGACAGAAAAGGCCGAGAATGAAAGTCAGGATGTCGTCACAGCACTGCGGCGAGACGGCGTTCGTGTTACTATTACGGGGATCGAGCCACGATGGCGAGACGCTTAATAGTCCGAGCCACCGCCGAACATGTCCATGCCACCGCCAAGGTCGGCTTCCTCTTCCTCTTCCTTCTTGGCCTCCTCCTTGGGGGCGGCGGCGCCAGCGGCGGCACCAGCGGCCGGGGCAGCGCCCGACGAGGCACCGACCGAGACGGTCGCGAGCTTCTTCTGGCCTTCGGCAATGACTTCGTAGATGTCCTTGCCCTCGAGCTCCTTGATCAAGGTCTCAAGGCGCTCCGTGTCGACTTCACCGCCGACGGCCGTGATGATGGCCGAGACGTCAGCGACGGACGGCGTGGTGTTACCACCGAGGACAGCCAAAAGGAAAGCAGCAACGTGACGCATCTACAGCAGCAGCAGCATGAGCATCATGGCAGCATGGGCGCATGGGCGCATGGGCTCATGGGCGTACCTTGTTTAAGGAGATTCAAAAGTTATTAGCCCGGACAACGTCTTCTGAGCGTCGCAGCCTCCACCAACTATCCGCTCCAAATCGCTCTGGCCAATCAACAAGAGATGCACGCTCATTCGCCAAAACCTCGCCTTTTTAGCCAATCACATTGTCGCCGATTTGGGATAATCGCACGCCACCGCCGTAGTCGGCCGGATCCTAGGCATCCGACCTGCGATCTCGCATGGAAGATGGCTGCCTGTGCACGCTGCCATGTCGAATGGCCGCGCCCGGTACAAGTGCTGCGACGCCGTAAAGGTCGATGCTATCGCGACGCTCCCAACGTGGTACCGACGACGCACCTTCACTCGCGCGCGCCACGAGCATCAAGATTGCAGAACACGCGAGTCGAGGAAGGGACGATAAGATCGTATAGCTAGATTAGCCATACGGAAAGGCGTACCAGTCGTGGGTCATTGGCGCAGGGTGCGCGACCACCGACGGAAGCGCGGGCGGCCGAGTGTCGGTGCTGACCTGCGGCGCCGCCTCCAGTCGGGTCTTCTTGGCCGGCGCCGCCATGACGAATTGACTCGTGCGCTTCCGGCCCGTCGTCGTCGTCGTCGGTGTCCAGTTGGTGGCGAGCATTCGACTCGTGTGATCTAAAACTGGCGATGGCGCTGAAACGATCCTCGCTCCGTGCGCTGCCACGTATGCCACCTCAGCGCATGCGATCCGGATACGAGTCCTCTCTTGAACTTTGTATACCTCGGTTGAACTGCGGTCTGGCCGGCGGAAGCGTCCGGATAACGCGGCGAAATCTTCGTATTTTTTAATCGTATTTTTCGATCGCCGATGTTTGAGAAGACGCTGGCGGACCTCGTCAAGGGGATCCGGTCGTGCAAGGGCGATGTCTCCGTGTACATCTCGCAGTGCATGCAGGAGATCAAGAACGAGCTCAAGGCCAACGACCCCTTCATCAAGGCCCAGGCCATCCGCAAGCTCACCTACCTCAACATGCAGGGCTACGACATGGGCTGGGCGGCCTTCCACGTGGTCGAGGTCATGAGCTACGAGCGCTTCGCCCACAAGCGCATCGGGTACCTCGCCGCGGGCCAGTCCTTCACGCAGGCCACGGACGTCGTCTTGCTCTGCACGAACCTCTTCAAGAAGGAGTTTGGCTCTGTGAACGAGTTTGAGGTCGGCCTCGCGCTCAACGCGATGGCCAACATTTGCACGACCGACCTCGCGCGCGACCTCCTCGGCGATATCCTCGCGCTCATGAACAGCCACAAGCCGTACGTGCGCAAGAAGGCGACGCTCATCCTCTACAAGCTCTTCCTCCGCTACCCGCAGGGCCTGCGCCTTAGCTTTGACCGGCTCAAGGAGCGCATGGAAGAGCCCGACGTGGGCGTCGTGAGCTGCTCCGTCAACGTCATTTGCGAGCTCGCCAACAAGAAGCCCAAGAACTACGTCGGTCTCGCGCCGCAGTTCTTTCGCCTCCTCACGACGTCGTCCAACAACTGGATGCTCATCAAGGTACCCCTCGTCTTGGACACCGTATCCATCATGCTCATGTTGCACGTCTGTAGGTCGTCAAGCTCATGTCGTCACTCGTGCCTGAGGAGCCCCGCCTCGCGCGCAAGCTCTTGGACCCGCTCGCGACCATCATCCAAAACACGCCGGCCAAGTCGCTCCTGTACGAGTGCATCTCGACGGTCACGACCGCGCTCCTGTACACGCAGAAGAGCGACGGGTCCCAGCCCCGCAACGTGCCGGCGATCGTCAAGCTCTGCAACGACCATCTGCGCCGCTACATTGAAGACCCGGACCAGAACCTGCGGTACCTTGGCCTCGTAGGCCTGAGCAACCTCATGCAGAGCCACCCGCACGTCATCAGCGAGCACCAGCAGCTCATCCTCGAGTGCCTCAGCGTCGAAGACACGACGATCCGCCTCCGGTCGCTCGAGCTCCTCGCGGGCATGGTCTCGCCCGAGAACGCGCCGGCCATCATCCAGGAGCTCATGCGCCACACGATGGTGTCGGACGGCGTGTACCGACAGGAGCTCATCGTCAAGATCCTGCACGTGTGCTCGCTCAACAAGTACCACAACGTGCAGGATTTCGAGTGGTACATCCGGATCCTCTGCCAGCTGAGCAAGCTCCCGGGCAAGGAGGCCTCGTCCGTGCACGGCGCCGAGATCACGCGCCAGCTCATGGACATCGCCGTGCGCGTCAAGGGCATCCGCAGCGTCCTCGTCAAGTACATGATGGCGCTTGTGCTCGACAAGGCGGCGCTCCAGGACGCTGGCGCGGCCACGACCGCGCAGGTGCTCTACGCGGCTGGCTGGATCGTCGGCGAGTACATTTTGGAGTTCATTGAGAACGACGAGAGCGACGAGAGCGACGAAGAGAGCGACGACGACAGCGACGGCGAAGAGGCGCGCCTCGAAAAGATGGTCGACGTCGTCGATGTCATGCTGCAGCCGTCGACGACGTCGCTGCCCGCCAACGTCCAGGCCGTGTACATGCACAACCTCCTCAAGCTGCTCATGGCGGCCGCCGAGAAGGCCGACGACGCGACCGTCGAGCTCGTGGCCAAGATGATCCTCGAACGCCTCCCCGCCTTTGTCCAGAGCGAGCACATTGAAGTCCAGGAGCGCGCATGCACGCTCGAGCACGTGGTCTTGGGCCTCGGCCTCGGCCTCGACGCACTCTCGCCCGAGGACCGCGCCAACCGCGTCTTTGGCGGCGCCATGATATCGACGTCCGACGGCCGTCTCAGCGTCCTCAACGGCTTCTTCAACGAGCCGCTCGCACCAGTGGGCGCCAAGGCCCAGCGCAAGGTGCCGCTGCCGCCGGGGCTCGACCTCGACACGCCCTTCGCCAAGGACGAAGCCGCGTTCCTTGCGGCCGGTGACGCCGACGGCAGCACGACCGACGACGTACGTTGTTGCAGATAGCAAGGTGAAGGCGTGACACGCTCTGTGTAGGAGGTGTCGTTCGTGCACTCGGCGCATGCCAAGGAGGCGGACACGGGGTACGTCAACCTCGGCGCCACCTCGTCGAGCGACGAGGAGACGGACGGCGACGACGCCAAGGCGGCGCTCGAGAAGCAGTACGCGATGGAGCAGGAGCGACTGCGCCAAGACCCGTTCTACATCAAGCCGACCCACAGCGCTGCGCCCACGGACGACGTATTCGCATTTAGTTAGTACATCCGATGACGTTCCGACTAGATGTTTGGCAACATCCTCTCGGCGCTCGACAACAAGAAATCCAAGGGCAAGAAGAAGCCCAAGGCGCCCAAGAAGCAGCGTGCGATCGTCCTCGACGACGTCATGGTACGCACACGACGCGTCTGAGGAGAATACCTATGGTTGTGTAGCCGGACGGAGGCGACTCGAGCGAAGACGAGAGCGGTCGGCGTGGCCGCCACGGCAAGCGGCGGTCGTCCAAGGACGTCGACTTGGCCGAGGTCGACCTCACCATGCCGCTGCGGGACGACGAGCGCATTCCGGACTCGCACTGGCAGCACCGCCAGGTCCTTGACCGCGCACCGAGCATGAACGACGACGACGGCAAGAAGGTTGGATCCACTCGACGGATCTTGGGGTTGACATTCGCGTTAGAAGAAGAAGAAGAAGGCCAAGGACGCGGAGCCGAAGAAGCCGAAGAAGTCGAAGAAGGCCAAGGAGGTTGAGGTTGCTATCGAGGAAGAGGTCAAGAAGCCCAAGAAGAGCAAGAAGACCGGGAAGGAGCCCAAGGAAGACAAGCCCAAGAAGAGCTCCAAGAAGAGCTCCAAGAAGGCGGCCGACGGCGGCGGCGCGCTCAACGACGAGCCGCTGCTCATGTTTTAAGTCGTAGTATTAGTGTATCTAGCGACAACACGATCTCCCGTTAGATATATATGACCGTGTATTGTGGTTTAGACCTTGCGGAGGGCCGCGAGGCGCGCCGAGAGATCGTTGGCCGTTGACGTGGGAGCGGCCGCCGGCTGCACGTGCGTCTCGAGGCCGACCGCGCCGGCGTTGTCGAGCTGGCCGGCGATCACGAGGCCGTTCTCGTCCGCGACCATCTGGATGAGGTCGTCGACCTGGTCGGTGGGCGTCGCGCCGGCCGTGGTGCTGTTCATGGCGCCCTCCATGTAGGCGGAGCGCACGTCGAGGTCCTCAAACTGCTTTTCAAACTGGTCCATCGTCTTGGAGATCTTCTCGACGTTCATCGAGTCCATGACCACGTCCATGCCCTTGACGACGCCCGACATGTTCTGCTTGAGCTTCCCCATCGAGATGGCGGTCTGGACGCGCGCCGCGACCGCGTCGATCCGGGAGCTGAGCTGGAGGTAGCTCAGCGCCTGGTTCTTCTCGCGGATCGCGTTCTGCGCGTAGATCTTGGCGCCCTCCATGTTGCCCTGCTCGATGGCCTTCTTGAGCTTCGTCTTCTGCGCCGTCTGGTTCTTATCGCACTTCTTAGCGTTGCGGAGGAGCGACTTGGCCGTGAACTTCATCTTGAAGAGCTCGTCCTCGAGCGTCGGCCGCTTTAGAAAGTCAAACATCGTGCAAAATGCAAAGTGGCCGTGTGCGTCGGATGTATCCGGATATACCTGGATTATCCGGAAGAAGAGTGTCGGTACCTGCATTCTCCGCGCCAAATATGCTGATTTTGAAATTTTCGAAAGAAATGCGAATTGACCGACTCGTTGAGCTCGTTTCCACAACTTTACTCGCGGGATGGACCGAAACAAACAGTTTTTCAAACCCTTTTCGTGAAATTCCGAAAGGCGACAAAGCACAAGCAACAATTACCGACGTTCGGCTCCGTCAGCTGGTTGTCGGTGGCGATCTCGCGCTGACAGAAGTCTCGCCTTGCTACCCGCAAACGGTGACAATTTTTTTTTTTTTTTTTCGACAAAGCGCCTCGTCGTTGTCGAGGTGATCACAGAGCGTCTATTGCGCATTTGGCACACCTGGCCAGTCGCAATGTTGCAGAGCTTGGGCTGAACCTGGGCACCTTGTCAACAAGCTGGAGTTTGGGTAACGTTATTGATTTGGCGCGTGAAACTCCTAGTGACTTCAAAAAGGACAGCAAAGATGGAGGACAGGCGGGTGCTCGCGACCTCCGTGGAAGCCCAGAACGAGTTGGCCATCATCTTCCACCGTACATTGATTGACGATGATGGCACTGGCGTAGTGTCAAGCTCCTCGAGCAGCACCTCGAGGCGCTCGAGCGGCAACTCCAAGAAAAGCACGCGTTCAACAATAGCCTCAAGTACGAGAGCGAGTGCCTCAGCCAGCGCATCGAAGCCCTTGAAGAGGACCAGCGCGTCGCCAAAACCAAATACGATGAAATGAACAAGCTCTTTAGCGACAAAGCCCATGCGCAGCACGACGAAAGCAAGGGCAAAGTCGAGGTTTTTGATATGTTTTTGAGATTGCGATTCATTTTCGTCTCTAGGCGCTGACCTCGACGATGGAGCAGCTGGAGATTGACATGCAAGAGAACGAGCGGCTCACGCAACTGCATGCTTCTTTGATTGAGCAACAGGAAGAGCTCCAAAAAACACTCGATGAAATGCTGCAGGTCCTTCCTCAACGACAATTGGAGGGAAGGACGACACTCTATTGTGCTAGAAACAAAAGACTGATCTGCACCAAATGAAGCTCAACGAGTACCAGCGCAAGTCGACCATGGAGGAGGTACCTCAATTCACACTTCAAACACCAACTGAGGGGCCCAGAACTTTCGGAGCTTGCTCGCGGCGCTCGAGACGCAGAATCTCAAGACCGGATTTGGTCTCCTCCTTGAAGCGCGTCAGGTAATGCAATTCTTTGCCCTCTTTTGTCATACAGCTGCTTAGACACTATTGACACCGCTCGCCACCGATGCCGTACCGGCGGCATCGCGCGACGGCCCAGCCTAGTCGTCGCCGTGGTAGTCATGTGCCAGTACTTGCTTAACATTGCTCCCAACCCCGTTCTATGGATGCAAGAGGCGTCCCAAAACCAGCGGTGAGTTACACGTCGCCTCTTCTTCAGTCGCCCAGAGAATTCTGATTCGAGTTTAGAAGCATGGTCTGGGAACAAAGAAATGGATTTCATTCAAGATGTACCAGTATGCTCAGTCCACACGAAACACCAACACCTTCTGCGTGGGAGGTGCTACGAGAGTCGGCAAAGGGCCGCGAGGTGAAGTCACGCCTGCAGAATCGGCGCCCAAGGCGGCAACGGGTTGTGGTAATCGTCGCTTGCGTCCTCATTATCGCCCGCTTCGTGACGAACTTGGCGTCGACGCCCACAAATCCCGCGGCCTGGAGATCTGCAATTTGAGGAATCGGACAAGTGGCACAGAATCGTTGCTGTGCGCGATGAGGGACCGCCAGGTAGGCGCGACCAATCGAACGAACGGCAACGAGTCGCGGGCGATGCATAAGAAGCGCGCTGCAACACAGCGTCTTCCAGCACGCTGTACGTGGGCTGCGTGCTCGTACCGACGAGCATGTGGTGTACGCTTCTGCGTCCCCATCGCGACTCGCGTCGGGCCTCTGGTGGCAGTCGTGGACGGCACTACCCCACATTATATGCTCTGAATGTCATTTGTCATATCACGACCCTTGCGGCCAAATTTCTCACATAGGGATGACAGCGAGGAAGCCGTCGAGTCCACGCTTCTGGAGAGCGAATTGCAGCGGCGCGTAGCCACTTTGCCGGCGCTTGACAAATTGAAACCCAGTGCAACGACGCCTCTTGATCGTCAGTTGTGGCCCTCGTTCAAGTATACAATGCCGGACCCCGCACTCGACATGAAGGCGCCCATCGATCCAGACGCGTTCTTGTACGGTGGCTGCGACAGTCGTACCTCAAGTACCGCCGACTTCGACATCAAAACTGTCCCGGAGCAGCGAGTGCGCAGACAGCAAGCCTTGGTGATTCGCACAATGCTACAGGTATGTGCTCTACGTACTGCTCCTCTAATAGTTTATGGCTAATCTACTGTAGTCGAGCCGCGCGATGCGAATGGCGGTGGTGGAGCTTCTGCTGCTGTTAAAACCCGTTTGGTGCTCCTCGGTTTCGCCTCCAAAACGTGTTTTTTATGCTTCTGGCGGTCGCGCGCGTTTTGTTTGTCTGTCTGTCTGTCAAAATCGGGGCCCAAAACGTGTTTTTCCAAAAACACCTCCGGAGCTGTTTTTGGGAAGGGCAAGGGGTATTTTGGGCACTGAGGGTAGCACACGAGCAAGCGAGCTAAGCGCTTAGCGCGCTGTGAGCTGTGAGCTGTACCAGCCATGGAACAGATGCGCATTCGCAGACCCGGCGTCGTCGACCACGCGTGCGTGCGGCCGGTCGACAGTACCGAGTTCTCGCCATCGTGCTCATGTTGAACGTTGAGAAGAGAGGAGTGGGAGGCGGCCATCGATGACCAAGGCGCTCTTCTCAGCTTTGACTGCCGCATCAAGCGCATCGACGCAGTCCTATTCGTCGCACTTCTCGATAGGGCTCGCGTACATGCATGGCATGCAACAACAGTTTACAGCCTGTCGACGGAGGTTTGTGTCTGGTCTTGGATGGACATTGGTACATATTTTACATTTGATTTACAATCACATTCGACGCACACTACATCTCGTAGCCATAGAGCGCGCGCTTGCTGTTGAAGAACGTCGTGTTGGTGTAGACCATCTTTCGGTAGTCGCCGGCGTAGTACGGGAAGCGGATCGACGGGTCGGCCTCGACGGGCGCAAACAGCGTCTTGCCGGTATTGATCGAGACGTAGACGGCGAGAAAGGTCGAGACGATGACGCCGTTGTGGGCAAAGATATTCTCCGGGAGCGCAGTTGTGCCGTTGAACGTCTTGAGGTAAAAGACAATACCCGGAACGTCTTTACGAAGCGTGTCGTTGTGGTCTAGGGATCATTTCCTTCTGAATTGGCTCCGGAGCAAAACTAATTTCTCCCGAACTGGCTCTTCGCGATGCTCCAGAGCCGGTTCTGCTAACCGGAAGTAGCAAACATATAACAGCCACGAGTTTGCATTTTTCTGCTTGATGATGAACAGCATGGTTGACGACGTCGCGCCCTCAAGCCATGTTCCTGCCAAGCGCAAGAACGACGAAGGTAGCGTACATTTGCGGCATCCAAGTGAAGCTTCCCTCTCTTGTAGACTCTCCTCCACGTAAACGCCAAGCGCTGGAGACGCCAACATCGCCGTCGACGCCCACGTGGAATCAACTTCACGTGGCAAGTCGTGGGCCTCTTCCGTTCTCAACTACTCCGCCCTTGATGCAACACGCAGCTCTATCGACATCTTGTAGCGTCCAGACGACGAGCTCGACGACGCGCTCGACGGACCTGCCCCCTCGTGCACGTTTGGACCTAGACCAGGTCGCTGAATTGGCTGAGGGTATTTCCGAGAGGGAGGCTCTGCTAAGCGATGGCTCGGCCGTTTTTGCGTACTGGCAACAGCTTCTCGAGATGCATCGAAATTGCCCATTGTCTCAACAAGCCACCGAATCCTTCGAAGTCGCTGTCGGCGCTCTCAAGACGTTTAGCGAGGTTGCGAAGGACTTGCGTGCAGTTGATGATGCCACGCGTGCCTTTGCGGTGTCATCGACGGCCCGCAACATGCAGTTGTGGATGCAATTTGTGGCACGCGTCAAGACGACCAAGACTTGCATCGCCAAGTTTGAGAACAGGCACGCCGTAATGTGCCGTGCTCTGCGCCGTTTGAAAAGTCTTTTGGACAGCATCGAGCAGTACAAGATCGCGCGGTGCTTGCCCGGTCCTGTGGCTCCGCGACGGGCCGGCATGCTTGCTCTCGTCAACGAGTACGACCGCATCATGAACCTCAAGCGCAAAGTTGAAGACTTGTTGCTCGTGCAAGGCCGTGCCGCGTTGTCCACGGCGCTGCGTGTTGTCCGCGACGCCGCTTACTACCCGTCGCTCATGCAGCGGCGAATGGCGACAGCTCGGCACGTTCTGGACGTGCTTTTTGCGTATATACGCCAAGTTCTCGCCTTCCACACCCGAGTGTGGACCCCGCCGTCCCAGGGCTCGTCGGAGATTTGGACGAAATCGACGTTTGAGGTCAAGGAGGTCAAGTTCGGAGCCCTGGAGCATTTGCCAGATGTCAACGGTACGCGGGACCCCGGGCTCCCGACGCGGGCGCGCTACATCAACTATGGAGACGTTGCGGACTTCCGTACACATTTCGGCGACGTCGGCCTGGACAACTCGTTCTCACCGGAAGTCCTCGAAGTGGATGGTACGTTCTATCTCATCGACGGTAACCATCGCGTTGCCGCGCTACGTGCCATGGACGACGCTGAGCTCGCGCCGCTGCTGGCGTCGCGCAACTACCAAGGGCGACTTGAGGACATGCCGATCACCGTGCGTGTTGCGCAAGACGCGACAGAAGAAGATGTCAAAAAGATGGCCAGGGCCAAGAACGTCGCGATTACCCTCTCAACCAACTCGGTCTTTTACACGTGCTCGGCGATGGACACCGCCATCTCGGATGCGTTGGGCGCGGAGTTCTCGCGCGCCGGCTCTTGGCATCGACAGGACTACACCAACCTGACCGACGAGAACCGCGAGGACATCAAGAAAATGGAAGCAGCTGTCGAGAAGGCGGCGCGTGGGTCCGATCCCAAGATGCAATGCATGCGACGTACCACCGCGATGCTCTACGCTCTCAACGTCAACGGGTTCTTGTACTCGTTGTGCAAGGACGTGAACTCGTTCCGTTCCACAACAAGTATGTACGTGATGCGGCGTGTCGCCGAGGGTCTTGTGCGGTCGTACGAGGAGCTTCTGGCGCTTGACATGGCGCCCGTCGTGCAACGACATGCCTGGCAAGCAGGCAGCGTGGTCTCGGAAGACGCTCAGTTGACCAACAGCATCCTATGTGCTCTCGCGCAATGCTGCGTCCTCCACAAGGAGACGTTCCGTCCTGGCATGGGCCTGGCATCGATATGGCGCGACGACCTCACTGTCGACGACGTCAAGGGCATCTTTTTCAGCAAGACCCCGTGGGCCGCGTACGACGAAGAGTACTTCAAGTTCCAAGATCGAGTTCTCGAGTCCGCGCGCGAAGGCCAGACGAGCATCCATGCGCAGCTCAAGGACTATGTACACCGCCGTGCGAAGACTATGGCCAACAAGAAAAGTATCGCAAGGAAGACGGAAGGGAGCTCAGGCCAGTCTGTCGCCAAAGGTATTGAGACGTTCCCAGATCTTGGGCTCTGTATTCTGCGCAGAAACGTATGGCGGCGCCCGTGTGCTCGATGCAGAAGTCGAGAAGTCTCAGGAGTACACCCAGCAACTCTCGACGGTGTCACCAGACGAAACCCCAGTCAATGACCTCTTGTACGTCGTGTCTTCACGTCGCGGCGATGTGATGTAGTAAACTCAATCCGACGCTAGTCCGCAAGTGGAATCGGTCCGTGAGTTCGTGTGCGGCTGCCGTCCTTCAGTCAACACTGCTGCTGTCAAGTACATGACTGTTGACTAACTTTTGCTAACCGTTACCCTAGCAATCCGGCCCCAAGCACGAGCAAAAAGTCTTCCAAGAAATCGAACCGAGGCAAGTGATGCGGTACTCGATGTTTGTTTTTTCTGATTGGAGGAGCGCCAGTTGACTACGACAAGAACAAGGCTTCGCATGACGACGACGAGGAAGGAGCCCGAGAAAGAGCTGTCGCGGTCAACAGCTTGTCAGAAGTTGGTGACGCCGCACGCGTTGCCTCGGTCGCCGATAGCACTTGCTCCGCCTCCTCTCCCGCGGAGGCGGGTGCTGTGCCCGAGGTCGCCGTTCCAAAAACTCAAAAGCCGGCGGTCCACAGCAAGCGTTCGGAACGCGAAACACAGTACCACCCGATTTGTACAAGGCTCAAACGCCGATACTGACTTTGTTAGTCGCGCGCTTCGTCTGCCATGTGGGACGCGCGACGGCGTGACGGAGCCGTCGCCCGTCGATATTGGCGAAGACTTTTTTGACCAAGGTGAGGCCGTGCAACGATTTGCCAGCGCGTTTGAGACGTGCAAGAAAAAGAACGGCGACGCACCGAGCGACATTCATGTTTTGAGCTTGTCCGGAGCGGCGCTATTGGCCATGAGCTCTGCTTTGTCGACCGGCGAGCGCATCGAAGTTGGCATCACGACCGAGGCATTCAAGCGCATCGTGGACTTGATGTCGGCTCGCAACATATATTACGTTTGATTTGTGAGAACTGCCTATGAAACCTATTGCATTAAGGACTTGTTGTTTCCGCTACTGATGGAAGTCGGTCCAACTGCGATGTAAGTCTTTGCGTTGATATTGCTGCCTATACATGGTGACAGGGCGCTTTGTCTCTCGATTGGCCTCGGTGACATGCACCGCTGCGTCCGCGCACACAGTTGGAAGGTCACATCTACCTCGGCCAAGGCCGTCCAGCGCTCATGCTTGCGGTCGAGGCCGACTTTTTTATAGACAATACCTTTGGGGTCTGTGAGTGGCGCTGTGTTTGGTATGTCGGCCGTCGACAAGGGCCTTTGTATCGCCGCGACCAAGCTGCCTCTGGATCTTCCGTGCCTCTAGGAAGTAATGAAGATGTCCACTTGCAAGTCCGCCAAGGTGGCATGAAGTGTCTCTGACACCGCCTCGGCCTCCTTTTCGAGCCGCACGTGATTGTGATTCTCTCGGACCTCCTCAAGTAGTTTGCGAACGCAAGCGCAACCTCCAGCGGCACGTCCGCGGGCAGCATCCGCAACGTCTCGGCGCACCGTGTCCAGCGCATTCCGCCTTTGATCTTGCGCGCTATCGACACCATTGACACCTCGAGTTGCTAACCGAGACACGTTCTACGCGCAGCTGTGGGACGCGGCCCTTCCACACGATGGCCTTGCCAGCGATAGTGTCACGCCGTGCTCAATATCAGCACGCGACTGCATGTGACCTTTTCCGACCTCTTGGCAACGTCACTCGTTCTGCAGCCGACGACGATGCGCTGGGTCATCACAACGCCACTGCCCAAGCATTCTGCGCCAAGTCTTTGGCATCATTTAACGCCGTGGCGTGCGCAATTGGACGACCCTAAAGACAATAGTGTTGGTTGATTTCGTATATCTATATACTAGTATTTACATGGAGTTGATTCACGGCGGAGAAGCGTCTCGAGACGGCGCTGCTGGCGGCCTCGCGTTCTGTGCGCTCGCGTCGAAGCTGCTCTAGGCGACTGGAGGAGGTCGACAATGACTTGGTCTTCTTCTTCTTCGTGAGCTCCATGCGCGTCGTGCCGACCGTGTCGCTGGCAAAGTCGAGTGCGTCGGCTTCCCGCGTGTCGTCGGCGACGGCCATAAACGTCTTGGGCCGGCCCACGATCGCGGCCATGGGATCGGCGAATGCTGTACGTGGCGCCGACGTCGACACGGCTCTGCTGGCGATACGAGGGCGGCTTGTGTCGGCCTACATGGCGGTGGGCCAGGCTCAGCGCGCCGCCATGGGCGATGCCTTCTTAGGGCGATGCCTTCGTCTGGATACTTCTTGTTGCTGGCGACTGGCGGCACGACCACGTCGGGCGTTAAGAGGTCGATGATGGCCGGCGGCGTCGGCATGGTCTTCTTGAGCAGCTATCGAGGTCGCGCTTCTCGCTGAAGGCGGCGCGCTCGGCCTCTCCGTGCGGCCACTCCTGGCGCCGGACTCTCCATGACCGAGCGTGTCCACACTGCCATTTCTTGTGCTTGAGGATCCGCAGCTGTTTTGAGTTTTTTGTCACCGGTCGTGTCAGAAAAGGGTGCGGTTGGACGAAAAAAGGGTTTCTTATTGGCATCTGACGTGGCATTCGTTGAGAGACGCGAGGAACACCATTCACACACCACGTAAGAACGCAACACATTTTCACATACACATATTCAATACGACTGCCTTGGCGGCAGTGGGGGCCGCGACGACATTAACTGGCCGGAAAAGTACGTCGCGCCGACGCTAAGAACCGAGTTTTGCTTTTTGACACGGGAAGCGCCACGATATCAAGGCGCTGGAGCAGTGGCGTCGCCTCATGATCTCTTGATCTGGTGCAGTCAATTTTTATATGTGTAAAACGTGGGTGAGACGCGATCCAAGATGCGCGCCAAACTAAGATCGTAGTGCCATCTGAGAGGCACAACGCACTCCAAACTATGATCGTAGTGCCATCTTAGCAGCATCACGCCAGGACGCTGACGTCGCTTGCCGGCAACATCACGTTTGAAATGGAATCGCCCATAGTTGGCACAGTGATAGAAGACGCTTTGGAGAGTAGAGCACACCACGCTAGGTTACCGTTGCCGTCGTGCAACGCGCGCATTGCTCGACCACAGAATCAAAGCGCTCTTAAAACGTTAAAATGCTAATGACTGCATTGACTCGCTGTATGCTTCGCCTTTTGCACTTGTGGCGACGAACTCCCCTTCCAGTGGATCAAGATTGCGATTCCTAGCCACATTCACGGAGTTACTACGTCCAGCGCCATCGCATCCTGTGGAGCGACTGGAACGAGAGGTTTATAGCTCACAATGCTCGGGCTTCCGCACTCGCGGTGATCTACGGTATTGTCACAACGCGTGTGATGGGATTCATGGGTCCTCGTATGTCAGAAATCGCAAAAAAAACAATCGATTCCTATGACGTGGCACTCGGAGAATGTCCCATCTTGGCGCAAATGCTCAGTCGTGTAAAAACAAGTGTAAAAGCGAGCACGACAAAGGCGAAACGCAGTGCTTTTACAAGAGAAGGAAGTGCTGCTTATTCCGCAATTTGCGCTGCAGGGCCTCGGCCGCACGGCACCGCGTCGCACGGCAGCGCGGTCGCAAGCGGGCGTCCTGTCGACTGTGGACGGTGGAACTCGTGTGGCCGAGGTCCTTCTTTCGCCACGCATCCCTGCAGTACAGGACGTTGGCTTGCCACGTACGCAAAGATCGCAGCGTCTTCATGCAGCAAGCGAGCTTGGGTCTGCGGCGTCGAGGATCGATGATCACCAAGCTCGATTGGTGGTATCAGTATCGTGTTGAGCAGCGCCGCAGCCATCGGGCGCTGCATTAGTACCTAGGCGTAGGTGCGCACATGCACACAAGAGGTTCGCGGAGCTGTCGCATTCGTATTGGGCCGTGGTTGCTGGCGTCGATGCAGCGCTGGTCGCAGCCATCGGCGCCGTAGCGGTAGAAATGCCCTTGCTTTGATGTTGGGCGTCTACGTGCTGTGAGGTATATAGTCGACGCGCCGAAACAAACGCTGACAGCGACAACCTCGAGCGTTTGTGCGAGGAGTGCGGACGATGGCCTCGACCGTGTCGCGCTCGTGGCGTCGTTTCAAGGCATCCGGATAAATAGCCGGACACCAATAGCAAGGGCAATACATTTCAAAACATGATTTCAAAACGGGCGCCACGACGAGACAAGAAACGCCGCCGCAGCATTGGGCGCTGGGCGCGCGGCGTCGCGTTCGGAGCGCGTTCATCATCTCTCATTACAAGAGGCAAGCGGCACTCATCTCGAACGCCTCACGCGTGACGTCCTGCGGCTATGGCAGCGAGCATTGAGACCGCTGGCCCGCAGCGACCTCTCGCCCGCAGCGAACCTCGCGCTCGGCGGCGCTTCAGATGCGATATGCGCTCGAGCTGCCAGTCATTGCATCTTCTCTCGGAGGTCACACACAGTGACCGCGCGCCCATGGTCCATGTCATACTACACCGGACCTCGTTCTTCAAGGCGTCCGCGCTGCACTGGTTCGCGTTTGGCACAAGGTACCACACGTCTTTAGCGCTACTTGGGTCTCACAGATTGACTAGGTTCCGTGTTTGCCCATGACACACGAGGTCGAGCTTTTTGCGCTTTTTCCGCGCCTTCCCGTGCTCGCACCACCTGCTCGTCGTGCACGGCGCGCGCAAGGACGCCTTTGCGAGCTCGTGGACGCGCCTCAAGGCCTGGTTCGTGTCGACCTCGCGTCGCCGCATCGAAGGCGCCCAAAGATGATGAGATTGTGCGCGACCACGTCGACGACCATTTCACGCGGCGCCGGGTCTCACGGACGCGTACAGACCAAGCTTCACGCCGCATCGCACCTTGGGCGCGCAGTGTGCTATTGCGACGCTTCTCGCGTTTGGTGGCGACGGCAGACTTGTCCTTGGCCACTGAAATGATCCCAGCGTTCTGGCTCCGCGCATAGAGCGTGGTATCGAAAATGCCATTTTATTCAAATCAATTCGTTGAAAAATCACCCAGTGCCCAACAATGCCGCAAATCAGCACGTTCCATCTCTCTCCATCACTAGCGACTTGTAGTGGGCCGTTGAAAATAATCCCAGCATTCTCCAACATTTTCTACATTTTGGCCATGCACCGCCACGGCGGCCGTGAGGTTTGTCGATCCCAAATCGAAACTTTTCAACCTTCTCAAATCCCTGCGATATTTTCAGGGACGCTTTCTCTAGCTCGAGAGAGGTTGTATGTCGACGCACGTGGCTATCAAAGGCCTGCAAGTATTTGTTTTGAAACTCGCCAACAATTGCTGTTTTATTCCAACATAAATCAGCTAGATATTCAACGCGAGCCACTACATGATGCTTTGAGCCTTGGCGCTCGTTCCGGTGAGTAGCAGCAAGGCCGTCGTTGCGGACAATTGATGTCCTGGCATCT